CCAATGTCGGATATGTTATCAAGTTAACATCCGATAAAGGTAAACTACTACAGGAAAGGGAAAAGTCATTCACCTTTTCTCATTCCATCCAATTTTGTTTTAAAGCAATAAGTAATTTGTTAATTCAATTTGCATTACAGAGAGAATGACGACAGTGTATTTATTCGTAGTGTTTTCAATAACACTCCAACTGATCTTCTGTTCAGAGACGGAAGATCTTTTTATTCGGCAGTGAAATGTCGATTAGGTAAGTTTCCCCAATATTAAATATTTTATTTTTGAGGAGCGTACCTTTACGATTTTAATTACATTTAAGCACATTTTTATTTGAAAATAATTTCATGCTATTTTTTTCTTTTATTTTTTTNTTAGACTATCCTCAATTGCTACACTTACAATGATCTACGCGAAGAAAAGCCGTATTGGGTTATAGTCGTGGGTACTTCTTTAATTATTTCTGGGAACATAAGTAAATCGTTGATGTTTTTTTTTTCTTTTATTTGCAAATAAAATGGTAAGAACATACAACAGAAAGTCAGACAGAGGCAAATATAGTCAGGAAAACGTAACCGGCAGCTTTATCTGCAGTGAGAGTTCGGGGGTACTTCTGAAATATTTGATGTATTTTTCTATCTCAGTTGACAAATTAACCCCACAAATATTATCTGTTGCTTACTAAGTCCTACCGTAGTAACACAATTTGATTTTATTTGAATTGAACAAAGGCGGGACATAACGCCTATACTGTAGGTTGCTTGAAATTTAGATTGAAATTTAAAACATCAATTTTTTACATGATATCGCACCAATGTGCAAAATTTGAGAGCTTTGGCTGTCATATTTTTTCTATAATGCTCATTCAAATTTGACAACGAGCCATTTCCGTCGATTTTTTTAAGAGCAAGTTTCAGTTTCAGAACAAATAGTAATATGCAAAAGTCTCAGGCCCCAAGTAGTACGTTTGTCCCGACCCTTCCCAAAAAGAAAAATAAATAATAATAAATATATAAATAAATAAAATAAGCTACTTATCAATACAATACAATACGTCAATACGTCACTTTACTGAGAACGTCACGTTACTGAGAACGCATAACGTCACAAGTGGTGAAACGTGATCATAGTAACACATTCCTTGGATTATCATGGATTCGCAGATGTTTCTTAGCTGCTTACTTATTTGCGCACTATGCGGCGCCCTTATAGGGCACGACCTTAAGAATTTCGGGTAGGAAAATTAGTGATTTGCATATTACAGAAACTAAATTTAAGGATGGTAAATTTGAAGTTTGTTTTTTTGGTGGACTGCTCGTTTACTGTACGTTGTTTAATACATTACCCAATGTCGGATATGTTATCAAGTTAACATCCGATAAAGGTAAACTACTACAGGAAAGGGAAAAGTCATTCACCTTTTCTCATTCCATCCAATTTTGTTTTAAAGCAATAAGTAATTTGTTAATTCAATTTGCATTACAGAGAGAATGACGACAGTGTATTTATTCGTAGTGTTTTCAATAACACTCCAACTGATCTTCTGTTCAGAGACGGAAGATCTTTTTATTCGGCAGTGAAATGTCGATTAGGTAAGTTTCCCCAATATTAAATATTTTATTTCTGAGGAGCGTACCTTTACGATTTTAATTACATTTAAGCACATTTTTATTTGAAAATAATTTCATGCTATTTTTTTCTTTTATTTTTTTGGTCAATGGGGGCTTTTGTGTTCGCAATGTTTTGAAGCAGTGTAACATATGTGTCTTCATATTGCCGTTTTAAAACAGACTGATTAACGTCGAGATTTTTTCAATTAAATTTTTTCAACAATTTCATTTTTGTAGTCGTCTTCAACAATGAAGACATCAAAGCCAATAAGACCGTCAACGTCAACGTGAGTGAGTCCAAAACAGGTTTTGCTGAGCGATTCATTGGCGAGAGCATTACTGCTACCCTCAACCAAACCACCAATGTGACAAACCTTCCTCCGCCAGGGATGACCAAAATCGTGGTCACATCTGACTTCATGTTGACAGAAGCAGAAAATAAAACTGGTATCAAGCAGGACGAGATTACAAAGGATACCAGCAAGATGACCGCCCTCGACTGCAAGACACAGTTCCCAGATGCAGTTTTAGCTCGGGCTCTGTGTAATGTGATGCAAATGTACGAACTTTACGCGCGTACAATAAAAGAACTGTTGCTCCTTGCAGCAGACAAGTTCAAAACCTTTTGGTATGAGGCTGTGCACAGTACAATGAACACTGATTTTGTGGAGCCAAAGGTTGTGAACAATTTTCGCAGAGTACGCTATCGAGTCAGCTTGAGAGTTTCCTAATACTCTTTGTTCCTCGCCTTTGACTCGATTTCTATATGTAGTTTTGTACAGCACTTGATATGATATGAAAAAACTTTCAAGATAATTTCCCTGAACAGTTCAACTTCTCCATTTCAATTCCAAAAGTGGATATTTCCTAGTTGTATATATCACCAGTACTTTTTCTATCAGTCGTTTCTTTCACGACGGCAATAAATAATTTTATTAAAATCTCAGTGTTGCGTTCGTTCAACAAAACTTGTCAATCTCGGGTTATATCCCCGTCCGATGAATTCATAAGGTGAGTTTTACATTAACACGTATGTCACTCAGCATCTCTTCATTATATGAAAATTTCTTGCCTAAAACATTGCTACACAAAAGCAAACAACGTTCCTTACAAATTGCGTTTAAGGATGTATAAGACACGAGAGAGAGAGGCTCGTGGAGATGGAAGATGAATTCCTTTATAACAAAACAAATAAATCCGACCGAACATCCTCAGGAAATACAGAACTCACCAACGGTCCCGAAAACCTAATTAGATGCACATTTAAAGATATGGTTTTATGAATAGAAATATCAGTCTTTTCTTTCACGACGGCATTAAATGATTTTATTTAAATCCCCGTGTTGCGTTCTATCAACGTATCCCTGTCATCTCGGGTTATATGCCAGTTTGATGAAGTCATACGGTGAGTTTTACAATAACACGTCAGCATCTCTTCATTATATGAAAATTTCTTGCCTAAAACATGGCTACACAAAAGCAAACAACGTTCCTTACAAATTGCGTATAAGGATGCATAAGACACGAGAGAGAGAGGCTCGTGAAGATGGAAGATGAATTCCTTTATAACAAAACAAATAAATCTGACCGAACATCTGCAAATAACGTCTTGACGTCACGTTACTGACAACGCATAACGTCACAAGTGGTGAAACGTGATCATAGTTACACTTTCCTTGAATTATCATGGATTCGCAAATGTTTCTTAGCTGCTTACTTATTTTCGCTCTTTGCGGCGCCCTTATAGGGCATGATTTTAAGAATTTCGGGTAAGAAAATCAGTGATTTGCATATTACAAAAACTGTATTTGAGGATGGTAGATTTGAATACAGTTTGTTTGGCGGGTTGCTCGTTTACTGTACGTTGTTCAATACATTGCCCAATGTCGGATATGTTATCAAGTTAACATTCGATGAAGGTATACTACTGCAGGATAGGGAAACTCTCATTCACCTTTTCTCATTCCATCCAATATTTAAATGCAATAAGTAAATATTGTTTATTCAATTTGATTACAGAGAGTATGACGACAGTGTACTTATCCGTAGTGTTTTCAATAACACTCCAACTGATCTTCTGTTCAGAGACGGAAGATCTTTTTACTCGGCAGTGAAATGTCGATTAGGTAAGTTTCGCCAATATTAAATAATTTATCTCTGAGGGGCGTACCTTTATGATTTTAATAACATTTGAGCACATTTTTCTTTGAAAATAATTTCATGCTATTTTTTTTTGGTCAATGGGGGATTTGTGTTCGCAATGTTTTGAAGAAGTGTAACATATGTATCTTCATATTACGTTTTAAAACAGACTGATTAACGTCGAGATTTTTTCAATTAAATTTTTTCAACAATTTCATTTTTGTAGTCGTCTTCAACAATGAAGACACCGAAGCCAATAAGACCGTCAACGTCAACGTGAGTGAGTCCAAAACAGGTTTTGCTGAGCGATTCATTGGCGAGAGCATTACTGCTACCCTCAACCAAACCACCAATGTGACAAACCTTCCTCCGCCAGGGATGACCAAAATCGTGGTCACATCTGACTTCATGTTGACAGAAGCAGAAAATAAAACTGGTATCAAGCAGGACGAGATTACAAAGGATACCAGCAAGATGACCGCCCTCGACTGCAAGACACAGTTCCCAGACGCTGTTTTAGCTCGGGCTCTGTGTAATGTTATGCAAATGTACGAACTTTACGCGCGTACAATAAAAGAACTGTTGCTCCTTGCAGCAGACAAGTTCAAATCCTTTTGGCATGAGGCTCTGTGCTACACAGTGAACCCTGATTTTGTGGGGCCAAAGGTTGTAAACAATTTTCGCAGAGTACGCTATCGAGTCAGCTTGAGAGTTTCCTAAGTCTCTTTAATCCTCGCATTAGACTCGATTTCTATGTAGTTTTGTACAGCAATTGATGACTTGTTGATATGAAAAAGTTTCAAGATAATTTCCCTGGACAATTCTGCCTCCCTACTTGTATATATCACTAGTATTTATTTGGTATCAGTCGTTTCTTTCACGACGGCAATAAATGATTTTATTAAAATCTGCGTGTTGCGTTACTTCGACGTATATTTGTCCATCTCGGGTTACATCCCCGTTTGATAATTTCATACGGTGAATCATCCATGTGATTATTCAAAATTCACGCTTATTGGAGTTTAACATTTACACTTAAGCATCTCTGCATTATTTAAAAGTCTCTTACCTAAAACATGGATACACAAAAGCAAACAATGTTCCCTAAAATTCGCGTTTGAGAGGACGCATAAAAACGTGAGAGAGAAGTTTGTGAAGATGGAAGATTTTGTAACAGAACAAATAAATCGGACCGAACATCTTCCACATATACAGAACCCACCAACAATCCAAAAAACACAACTTAGAAACACATTGAAAGATATGATTTTATGAGTAGAAATATTATATCACAAGACGGCAAAAAAAAAGAGTCATATTTTCAATCATTTAATAAGAAAAACAGCAACTTCGCCAAATGATAAATAATTACTGTCACTACAGACCATGATTTAATTGTGAATCGTACAAATGATTCCAAGAATATACAATTTGCATGTCTACAGGTTTTTATGGATGATTAAGAAAAAACGACAGCGTTTGTATAAAACTTCATCAATTGAGAAAAAAAAAGGCCTTAGAGTTCTTTTGATTATGAAGACTTGCCATTGGCTGACATCATGTTTGTGTTTTTAGTCTCATTCTTGAAATGTTGTGGTAGGTATGGGTTGATTTGGTGAAGACTTTTAACACATAGGCATTGGTTTCTGTCTCTTTGTTAAGTCTTCAGTTGTTTTTTTTAAGAAAAAATTTCAATGTTCTAGCTTAATAACTGTTCTGCGGCTCTTTCCACATCCCAGTTGCAGGTTGAGAGAGCAGTTCTTGCTCGGTTCTGAAAACAAGGAATCAAAACATGAAGTGTTCTTATTTAAACGCCTCCCTTAAGAATAATTAAACATAACACAGATATATAATATTTACTTAACCAAAGAAGAGATACAGAATGGATATGTTTTGACTCAAAATCCCCCACATCAATGAACATTAAATGAAAATGCTGTCAACCACTTGATAAAAAGTCACAGCTTTAACATGATATATAACCTTTTTAACATGCCATGCCTGTATTGCTGGCAACTGCCTTTGGCTGTGCTTAGCCTCCCATATCAACTGACCATCTGTATGTAGTATAATTTATAAACTACTATTGCATAACTCTACAATACTCACTTCTTCAAATCCCATGGAAACTGCTTGCTTTAACTTTTCAATGAGATCAGGATCTCTATTACTTGCTAAAAATAATGCAAAATTACAATGAAAAAGCACTTCATGTACTATCATTATTTAAATGTTTTAGTGTCATTTAAGCATTTTAGTTGTCATTTTATATAAACATTTTCCTCGTGTACTTTCAGTCTGCATATCAGTTATGGCAATGGGTTAAGTTTGACAGCATATCATTTACAACAACGTGGTAGTTGTTACTGCATATCATTCATGGCAAATGTGTTAAGTGTGACTGCATAGATATCTATATCTGTCATGGCAATGTGTTAAGTGTGACTACATAGATATCTATATCTATCATGGCAATGTGTTAAGTGTGACTACATAGATATCTGTATCTGTCATGGCAATGTGTTGACTGTGACTACATCTCAGACATGACAATGTGCTATGAGGGACCTGTGACACAGAAACAAAATTTGCTGAAGTAAGGTCACTATAACAGTGGAAAAAAATTGTGCACCTACCTCCAGCATAAGCATATGCCCAATGCCGTGCAGTTTTCTCAAACATTGCCCGGTTTTCTTTGTATTGTTTTGCTACAACTGCATCTTGTGGATCATCTGGTTCTGCTGCACCAAGGAGAGCTTGTAGGGAAATCAGAACTGTCCGTAACGTCATCGCTGCAGCCCTAGAAAACATATTTCAATGTTAAGTTAACAGCGCTGTATGTGAAATCACTGCTGCATCCCTAGAAAAAAAAAAGCATTTAAAACCGGGATAACAGAACTGCCCATAACCTTACCACCGCAGCTCTAAATATAGAACATTTTTATGTACCCATAAAGCATATAGATCTACAGTGCAGATCATTTCAATGTAAGGATGACAATACTGTCCATCACATCAGGTTTTTCTTGAAACTTCACTGTTCTTGAGTCTAAATTAAATCTGATGTTTATTCAACTTGGTTTATACTGAATAATCTCTACTGCAGTGTCTGAGACAATTATAAGAATTCCCATTATTTTCACGCAAGGTGTTTTTGTACTTACCACTGATCTTTTAAAATGTCTAAACAGATGGCACCTGTCACTGAACTGATATTTGGATGCCATATTTTTGTTATAAAGCGTACCTGAAAGACAAGTGATTGACCTGGGTCATACTTCATTACAGCAAATCACAACATGGAAAAGCCAGATGTGTGTAGAACTCAAGAAAACAGTATAAAGATATATATATAATTCATAATAACCTGGAGTCACAGTCACTTGACTCTGCAGATATTTATGTTAGTCTATGTAGGTTATAAGCTATTCTAGTCATACTTAACAGCTTAGAACTATGTATAACATCGATTTTGCTTTTACACACCATTGCATTATTTATAGTCAGATCTGTGCATTTTCACCAGATGCAAATGTTATGAAATAAATACAAATTTATATAATCAGTATTTTTTTCTTTTTCTGGACTTTAATTTTATGATATAACCTTCATGAGGTGAGATCGCATTTTCACCAGACGCAAATGTTATGAAATAAATACAAATTTATATAATCAGTATTTTTTTTTCCTGGACTTCAATTTTATGATATAACATTTATGAGGTGAGATCACTCCTTGGCTATTTTGTGAACATATTCACTAGAAACAATCTCTTGTCATGAGTCATAACTAGTGAATACATACCCTCAGGATTACACATCCACCTATCTCCACAGAAACAGGTACTGTTTGTTTATAATTACAGAGAGGATTTTGCATCCTATAGGACCACAAACCCAAATACAGTAGGAGATATTTCTCCATAAAATCAATGAATTCAAAACTGAAAGGGGTGCCGACACAGAATGTTTGGTGAAGTGCCATGTGATTTCAAATTTGGAATATTTTTTCAACAATGCTGACACAAAAATTATGCATGGTGCCCATAATTTGGGTTTATCCCCAAAAATAAATATTTAAGATTTTCATTTTCAGACTCTTTTTACCCATGTATAATATAAAGACAATAAAACTGGCAGATCTTGTTGAAATATTGATTATCTTTCACACATTCTTAAGGCTGAAGAACTGTATTGCATACCTTAGGTGGATTAAATGGGTAAGTCTCTGGAATCTTTATTTCAAGCTGGTATTTTCCTCCTTCATATGGGGTATCAGGTGGCCCTGCTATCTCTCCTTTTAATTCTGTGTAAGTGTCATTTGTTAATTCTACACTAATTTCAAAGCTTTTCACCTGCAGAGGAAATAACAAACATTTCACATAATAATAATAGATGCAGCAATTCTTTTTGGCAACACAGTCTGACTGACTATTAATTTTTATATTTATTTATTAATGGCTGAATAAACTGTTATCTTATGTAATAATGTATCAACATGCAGCTGTGTTAAAGTACTTTTGTACTGTACATTATACCTCTCGAATCAAGGAAACACAATGTTCACTAAATACTTATAATTACATGACTATCAAAATGAAAATATTCCCAAAATGTTTAACAATATACTAGTTATCATTTTTTGGCAAAAGGATTCCAGTGATATGATACAAACTAAATTAATTATAAAAAGAGCATAGTGGCTAACACACACACACACACACACATGCATGCTTGCACACACATGCACACACACACACACACACACACAACTGAGTTTAAAAAGGTAAACATCTACGTTGATCATTTTTGTAAACCTTGTTCTTTTAATTGCTTGATAAGCTTGTTCTTTTGTTATTACTTTTTCAAGTATTTTTCAAAGATGCATACAAAAAAAAACAGTTTAGCTATGTGATACTATTAACTGAGCAACTAACCTACTTACTTTCACCTAGTTATACAACTTCACATACACTTGCATAATAAACAAAATTTCATAATGGATATACTGGCCTATAAATTCCCCACTGCTCAAAACTATTGAAATTTACAAATTTGAATTTATTTCAGACAAGTATTGTAAAATTAGTCTCAAAATATTAAAATGCAGCTTTTAATATACAACCAGTTATTTCTTTAAATTATGATCTATCATTTCGTAACAGGCTCTTTATTAAGTAAACACCAACAGAATTTAAGACATTCATCTCGACACATTTGTAGAATAAAGTCCATTCATTTAGTATAAATATAATTGCTTGGGAATATTTGCACTCTGGACTCTTTTACTAATGAGTCTGAGTTACGATGACATTATTTTTTTCTGCTGAAATGATAATAGGTGTAGCCCTGAGTGATCATTACAAAATAGCAAATCTTCTAGGAACAAGTTATCTCAAAGTTACAAGCTATTTGACAGTATCACTGGCTATTCCTTTTACTCACTAGAGGTTGAATATACACAAAAATCAGCTGTTATGTTTTGACAAGCTTCGAAACGTTGTGATCAAATACACACAAGTCAAATGACTGCCCCAACATAACAACGTCGTTTTTAAGTTGAATAAGATTCCTACCTCCTCGCTTTTCACAACCTCTTTAAATTCTCTTTTTATCCGAGCTACTGCTATATTAGCCATTTGTGGCTTAAGCGTCTTTTTATCTCAAACAACAAGTTCAGAATCGTTGATCGAACCTTTACAAACTGAAGTTTCATGAATTAGGTCAGATGAGTACCGGAAGTAATTACTAAGATTGGGCATGCGTATTGAAATATCGTCTCCCCGAGAGAAAATTTATTGTGCTAAAAACGCCAATATGATATCTTTATGGGATAAAAACTATACAGAAGCATATTGTTGCTCTTTATACTAAATTTATGATATTTTGATAGTTTTTCTTTTAACTTCAGTATTTTAGTACTGCCATCTGTCGGCCGATGGACAGAGTAGCGGGAGTTGTTGTAAAGGAATCAAAACAATCGTGCGCCGTGCCACTCCAGCATAATATTAAAATGCCTAACATCAAAATTTTTAGCGGGACTTCGCACGCTGACATGGCGCAGAAGATCGCCGAGCGTCTTGGCATAGAACTGGGCAAAGTGACAACGAAAAAATTCAGTAATCAAGAAACATGGTGAGTCTCACGTGGTTTTTGACCCGAGTGACGTTGAACTTGTTGTTTTCTTAGAAATAGTCAGTATAGAGATTGACCCTGAGTGCACGTGCAACGATTGTTCAACAAAATTTTCTGTTAAAATTTATACAGTCACAATCACTGACAGATGTTTCTTTAAGTAAATTAAGGGCCAAAATTATCTTTACCTGACAAAGTACTTGCATCATGTTTTTTGGAAATAGTACAAAAATTCATAATGATAATGTTCTAAAATATTATAATCATTAATTGTAGTATCTGTTTGTATTGTTGATGAATAATGTTGTTTATGGGGGTTATGTTTGTAGTAACATTCATTCAACCACTGCAGTGGCATTACCTTAAAATATTTTGGTGAATGATTTGTTTTCACTGTAGATATAATCTAATTATAAAATGCTGAATGAATAATGGCACCATTAGGACGTGTAAGGCTGAAAACTGAGACCAAGTGATTGGGAGAAATATACACAACTCAATCTAATAACACCAGAATTATTATTTATTTCTGATGAAAGTTGGTTTTTCACATGGAGATGAGGTAATAATTTCTATTGCAGTGTTGAAGTAGGTGAGTCAGTCAGAGGGGAAGATGTTTACATTGTACAAAGTGGCTGTGGTGAAATAAATGATATGTTGATGGAACTCCTCATCATGATCAATGCTTGTAAAATAGCATCTGCATCCCGAGTGACTGCCGTCATTCCATGTTTCCCATATGCCAGACAAGATAAGAAAGACAAGGTAATGTACTTAATACTTCAAAAATGTAGTCGTTTCAACCTACCCCTGACCACCCTCCCCCCCAAAGTACTTTCAGTTCATGTTCTCTATTTATATAAAATTCAATATTTAATGCTGACTAGTAACATTTTCAAAAAGAGTTTTAAAAATTTAGCATAAGCAATTCATAATAGATAACTTGTTTACATGAATATGTATTTTAATTAAAAATTTTAGGAACCCCTCAAGTTCAAATTTATAGCAGTTCATTGTGAAAGAAATGTTTTTTTCTTTGTGAATGTTTCAGAGTCGAGCCCCAATATCTGCAAAACTAGTAGCAAACATGCTATCTGTATCCGGGGCAGATCACATAATCACAATGGACTTACATGCGTCACAAATACAGGTAAAAACAATAAGTTAACAAAACTCAATCTAGCAAAGTACCTTTAACCGAGTTACACTTTANAGCTCTTTCCACATCCCAGTTGCAGGTTGAGAGAGCAGTTCTTGCTCGGTTCTGAAAACAAGGAATCAAAACATGAAGTGTTCTTATTTAAACGCCTCCCTTAAGAATAATTAAACATAACACAGATATATAATATTTACTTAACCAAAGCAGAGATACAGAATGGATATGTTTTGACTCAAAATCCCCCACATCAATGAACATTAAATGAAAATGCTGTCAACCACTTGATAAAAAGTCACAGCTTTAACATGATATATAACCTTTTTAACATGCCATGCCTGTATTGCTGGCAACTGCCTTTAGCTGTGCTTAGCCTCCCATATCAACTGACCATATGTATGTAGTATAATTTATAAACTATTATTGCATAACTCTACAATACTTACTTCTTCAAATCCCATGGAAACTGCTTGCTTTAACTTTTCAATGAGATCAGGATCTCTATTACTTGCTAAAAAGAATGCAAAATTACAATGAAATAGCACTTCATGTACTATCATTATTTAAATGTTTTAGTGTCATTTAAGCGTTTTAGTTGTCATTTTACATAAACACTTTCCCGTCAGCCATGGCAATGTGTTAAGTGTAACTACATAGATATCTGTATCTGTCACGGCAATGTGTTAAGTGTGACTGCACAGATATCTGTATCTGTCATGGCAAATGTGTTAAGTGCGACTGCATAGATATCTGTATCTGTCATGGCAATTTGTTCAATGTAACTACACAGATATCTGTATTTGTCATGGCAATGTGTTAAGTGTGACTACATATATATTTGTATCTGTCATGGCAAATGTGTTAAGTGCGACTGCATAGATATCTGTATCTGTCATGGCAATGTGTTCAATGTAACTGCACAGATATCTGTATGTCATGGCAAATGTGTTAAGTGTAACTACATAGATATCTGTATCTGTAATGGCAATGTGTTAAGTGTAACTACATAGATATCTGTATCTGTCATGGCAATGTGTTAAGTGTGACTGCACAGATATCTGTATCTGTCATGGCAATGTGTTAAGTGTGACTACATAGATATCTGTATCTGTCATGGCAAAGTGTTAAGTGCAACTGCATAGATATCTGTATCTGTCATGGCAATGTGTTAAGTGTGACTACATCTCAGACATAACATTGCACTATGAGGGACCTGTGACACAATCAAAATTAGCTAAAGTAAGGTGACTATAACTTTGAAAAAAAAATTGTGTCCCTACCTCCAGCATAAGCATATGCCCAATGCCGTGCAGTTTTCTCAAACATTGCCCGGTTTTCTTTGTATTGTTTTGCTACAACTGCATCTTGTGGATCATCTGGTTCTGCTGCACCAAGGAGAGCTTGTAGGGAAATCAGAACTGTCCGTAACGTCATCGCTGCAGCCCTAGAAAACAATATTTCAATGTTAAGTTAATGGCGCTGTCTGTGAAATCACTGCTGCATCCCTAGAAAAAAAAGACCATTTAAAACCGGGATAACAGAACTGTCCATAACCTTACCACCGCAGCTCTAAATATAGAACATTATTATGTACCCATAACAGCATATCTACAGTGCAGATCATTTCAATGTAAGGATGACAATACTGTGCATCACATCAGGTTTTTCTTGAAACTTCACTGTTCTTGAGTCGAAATTAAATCTGATGTTTATTCAACTTGGTTTATACTGAATAATCTCTACTGCAGTGTCTGAGACAGTTATAAGAATTCCCATTATTTTCACGCAAGGTGTTTTTGTACTTACCACTGATCTTTTAAAATGTCTAAACAGATGGCACCTGTCACTGAACTGATATTTGGATGCCATATTTTTGTTATAAAGCGTACCTGAAAGACAAGTGATTGACCTGGGTCATACTTCATTACAGCAAATCACAACATGGAAAAGCCAGATGTGTGTAGAACTCAAGAAAACAGTATAAATATATATAATCCAACATAATAACCTGGAGTCACAGTCACTTGACTCTGCAGATATTTATGTTAGTCTATGTAGGTTATAAGCTATTCTAGTCATACTTAACAGCTTAGAACTATGTATAACATTGATTTGCTTTTACACACCATTGCATTATTTATAGTCAGATCTGTGCATTTTCACCAGATGCAAATGTTATGAAATAAATACAAATTTATATAATCAGTATTTTTTTCTTTTTCTGGACTAAAATTTTATGATATAACCTTTATGAGGTGAGATCGCATTTTCACCAGACGCAAATGTTATGAAATAAATACAAAATTATATAATCAGTATTTTTTTTCCTGGACTTCAATTTTATGATATAACATTTATGAGGTGAGATCACTCCTTGGCTATTTTGTGAACACATTCACTAGAAACAATCTCTTGCCATGCCTTGGGGTCATGAGTCATAACTAGTGAGTACATACCCTCAGGATTACACATCCACCCATCCCCACAGAAACAGGTACTGTTTGTTTATAATAACAGAGAGGATTTTGCATCCTATAGGACCACAAACCCAAATACAGTAGGAGATATTTCTCCATAAAATCAATGAATTCAAAACTGAAAGGGGTGCCGACACAGAATGTTTGGTGAAGTGCCATGTGATTTCAAATTTGGAATATTTTTTCAACAATGCTGACACAAAAATTATGCATGGTGCCCATAATTTGGCTTTATCCCCAAAAATAAATATTTAAGATTTTCATTTTCAGACTCTTTTTACCCATGTATAATATAAAGACAATAAAACTGGCAGATCTTGTTGAAATATTGATTATCTTTCACACATTCTTAAGGCTGAAGAACTGTATTGCATACCTTAGGTGGATTAAATGGGTAAGTCTCTGGAATCTTTATTTCAAGCTGGTATTTTCCTCCTTCATATGGGGTATCAGGTGGCCCTGCTATCTCTCCTTTTAATTCTGTGTAAGTGTCATTTGTTAATTCTACACTAATTTCAAAGCTTTTCACCTGCAGAGGAAATAACAAACATTTCACATAATAATAGATGCAGCAATTCTTTTTGGCAACACAGTCTGACTGACTATTAATTTTTATATTTATATATTAATGGCTGAATAAACTGTTATCTTATGTAATTATGTGTTTAAGTACTTTTGTACTGTACATTACACCTCTCGAATCAAGGAAACACAATGTTCACTTAATACTTATAATTACATGACTATCAAAATGAAAATATTCCCAAAATGTTTAACAATATACTAGTTATCATTTTTTGGCAAAAGGATTCCAGTGATATGATACAAACTAAATTAATTATAAAAAGAGCATAGTGGCTAACACACACATGCATGCTTGCACACACACACATGTACACACACACACACACAAACACACACACAACTAAGTTTAAAAAGGTAAACATCTACGTTGATCATTTTTGTAAATCTTGTTCTTTTAATTGCTTGATAAGCTTGTTCTTTTGTTACTACTTTTTCAAGTATTTTTCAAAGATACATACAAAAAACAGTTTAGCTATCTGATACTATAAACTGAGCAACTAACCCATTTACTTTCACCTTGTTATACAACACATACACTTGCATAATAAAAAAATGTCATAATGTATATACTGGCCTATAAATTCCCCGCCGCCCAAAACTATTGAAATTTACAAATTTGCATTTATTTCAGGCAAGTACTGTAAAATTAATCTCAAAATAACAAAATGCAGCTTTTATACAACCAGTTATTTCTTTAAATTATGATCTATCATTTCGTAACAGGCTTTTTATAAAGTAAACACCAACAGAATTTAAGACATTCATCTCAACATATTTGTAGAATTAAGTCTAATATTTAGTATAAATATAATTGCTGGGCAATATTTGCACTCTGGACTCTTCTTATGAGTCCGAGTTACGATGAAATTATTTTTTTCTGCTGAAATGATAATAGGTGTAGCCCTGAGTGATCATTACAAAATAGCAAATCTTCTAGGAACAAGTTATCTCAAAGTTACAAGCTATTTGACAGTATCACTGGCTATTCCTTTTACTCACTAGAGGTTGAATATACACAAAAATCAGCTGTTATGTTTTGACAAGCTTCGAAACGTTGTGATCGAATACACACAAGTCAAATGACTGCCCCAACATAACAACGTCGTTTTTAAGTTGAATAAGATTCCTACCTCCTCGCTTTTCACAACCTCTTTAAATTCTCTTTTTATCCGAGCTACTGCTATATTAGCCATTTGTGGCTTAAGCGTCTTTTTATCTCAAACAACAAGTTCAGAATCGTTGATCGAACCTTTACAAACTGAAGTTTCATGAATTAGGTCAGATGAGTACCGGAAGTAATTACTAAGATTGGGCATGCGTATTGAAATATCGTCTCCCCGAGAGAAAATTTATTGTGCTAAAAACGCCAATATGATATCTCTATGGGATAAAAACTGTACAGAAGCATAATGTTGTTCTTTATACTAAATTTGTGATATTTTGATAGTTTTTCTTTCAACTTCAGTATTTTAATGCTGCCATCTGTCGGCCGATGGACAGAGTAGCGGGAGTTGTTGTAAAGGAATCAAAACAATCGTGTGCCGTGCCACTTCAGCATAATATTAAAATGCCTAACATCAAAATTTTTAGCGGGACTTCGCACGCTGACATGGCGCAGAAGATCGCAGAGCGCCTTGGCATAGAACTGGGCAAAGTGACAACGAAAAAATTCAGTAATCAAGAAACATGGTGAGTCTCACGTGGTTTTTGACCTGAGTGACGTTGAACTTGTTGTTTTCTTAGAAATAGTCAGTATAGAGATTGACCCTGAGTGCACGTGCGACGATTGTTCAACAAAATTTTCTGTTAAAATTTATACAGTCACAATCACTGATAGATGTTCCTTTAAGTAAATTAAGGGCCAAAATTATATTTACCTGACAAAGTACTTGCACCATGTTTTTTGAAAATAGTACAAAAATTCATAGTGATAATGTTCTAAAATATTATAATCATTAATTGTAGTATCTGTTTGTATTGTTGATGAATAATGTTGTTTATGGGGGTTATGTTTGTAGTAACATTCATTCAACCACTGCAGTGGCATTCCCAAAAAATATTTTGGTGAATGTTTTGTTTTAACTGTAGATAATCTAATTATAAAATGCTGAATGAATAATGGCACCATTAGGACGTGTAAGGCTGAAAACTGAGACCAAGTGATTGGGAGAAATATATACAACTCAATCTAATAACACCAGAATTATTATTTATTTCTGATGAAAGTTGGTTTTCCACATGGAGATGAGGTAATAATTTCTATTGCAGTGTTGAAGTAGGTGAGTCAGTCAGAGGGGAAGATGTTTACATTGTACAAAGTGGCTGTGGTGAAATAAATGATATGTTGATGGAACTCCTCATCATGATCAATGCTTGTAAAATAGCATCTGCATCCCGAGTGACTGCCGTCATTCCATGTTTCCCATATGCCAGGCAAGATAAGAAAGACAAGGTAATGTTCTTAATACTTCAAAAATGTAGTTATTTAAAACCTACCCCTACCCCCCCCCCCCCAAAGTACTTTCAATTCATGTTTTTATTAATGTAAAATTCAATATTTAATGCTGACTAGCGACATCTTCAAAAAGAAAAAAAAAAATTAGCAAAAGCAATTCATAATAGATAACTGTTGACATGAATATGTATTTTAATTAAAATATTTAAGAACCCCTCAAGTTCACATTTAAAGCAGTTCATTGTGAAAGAAATGGTCTATTTTCTTTGTGAATGTTTCAGAGTCGAGCCCCAATATCTGCAAAACTAGTAGCAAACATGCTATCTGTGTCTGGTGCAGATCACATAATCACAATGGACTTACATGCGTCACAAATACAGGTAAAACAATAAATTCACAAAACTCAATCTAGCAGAGTACCTTTATCCGAGTTACCAAACACCTATCATTCAGCAAAAGAAAATATCATAATTTACTGCTTTAACGAGTAAGTTTTACAGGTTCTTGTCTATAAAGAGTGTATCTATATTGGGACCAGAATATATTTGTTCCTCCAGATGGTATTTTCAGCTTTCAGTTTGAGGTTGGCATTCCAAAATCCCCCCACCCCACCCCACCCCCACAAGCAGTTTTTAAGTATCATTTCACGAAGGTTCTTTTCATATCACTTGGAAATGGCAGCAGATGGAAGGCTTTCCCTTTAGCACCATCCAACTGTTAGATGAACAAGTTTTCACAGAAGACAACTGTTGTTTTCCATGACAATTGGAAGACTTACTAAATTTTGGGGATATGACAGAAATTGAAAATGGTATTAATGTCCATTCTTGCCTATTTAGACCCCCTGCAACTACAAACCCAGGGAAAGGCTTGATACGATGACTTTTTATATGTCATGAAAATTTAGTTCTTGTTGCAAGTGCATGAAAGCCTCAAGGTATGGATACATCGTAACATCACAGAGCAATGACCAGCTGAACAATCTATATTTTCATTGTAGGGTTTCTTTGATATTCCCGTGGACAATCTCTATGCTGAACCAGCTGTTTTGAAATGGATTCGAGAAAATATTCCAGAATGGAGGAACAGTGTTGTTGTATCACCTGATGCAGGTGGTGCGAAAAGGTATTTTGAACTTGTTTTTAACTTGTTCTATAGCTTTGTTTGTAGGATCATTAATTGCACAATTTGTTGCAAACAGTAAATATAGAAATGAAATGAGAGGGGTAGAAACAAAATAATAGATGAATTTAGGATTGAATGTATACAGCTAATAATATTTTATCAAACAGGCATTTCAATTGTTATTTCTACAACTTGATGGTTCTATTATTTATTGCCTTCTGTTGAAGAATTCTTGGCCTTCAAGAATATAAGATATTTATTTTCAAAGCATGGTCTCAGTTTAAGAACAAATGATGGAAATTGTGTGATACATTAGCTGAATGTTATTATAACTGTGTATCTTTATTTCTTGTCAGGGTAACATCTATAGCTGACAGACTAAACATAGAATTTGCACTGATTCATAAAGAAAGGAAAAAAGCAAATGAGGTCGCGTCAATGGTATTAGTTGGTGACGTGAAGGAAAAAGTAGCTATATTAGTAGATGACATGGCAGACACCTGTGGCACTGTGTGCCATGCTGCTGAAAAGTAAGTAAAGCCCCCTTTTCACTGGACAACGTCCTTTCTGCATCCCGTACTACGGCCCTGTTTAAGAGTAAAAAAATATACTTAACGTGCCAACAACTGGCTGATCAATAAGCATTCATCTTGCAACAAAAGTGCCTCCTTTCTACGACCACATCGATGCCAGTTTCATGGTCAAACAAAGGACGCAGAAAGGATGCCGTTCGGTGTAAAGGGGGTTTAGGATAATCAACAACACAACTTTGTCAACAGATTTGGGACTTTTATTTTCAATAAAGATAGGATGTAATTTTGTCTTGAAGCAGTGTTCCCCTTTAAAATGGATAAAATTATCCCTTTTCCTGTTACCCATGCAATATAAAATTTTAAGCCAGGTGATTACTTAGATCCAGATATCTCTTCAGTTTTACTACCTCTGATGTGAACACCTGTCATTCAACACTGTATCTCTTCTGAAACTCTCTGAAATGTATTTCTTCTTGTTATGATATTATTTTATTTTAAGCACTGTGCATTTTATGCCTGGAAGACTTCAAAATAATTTTAAAGAAATGAAACCTCATATGTACCAGTCAGGGTAGAAATTTTAAGTAAGTGAAAAGTAAACATCTTGTCCTGTTGACAGGCACTGATCCCCGTTTGTGATTTATATTGCTTGTGTTTGGCTGCTTTTAATTGTAATTCATCTATTAATTTTGTGGTATATCTATTCATTTCAGGTTGCTAGAGGCTGGAGCTGCCAAAGTGTACGCAATCTGTACGCATGGGGTCTTTTCTGGGCCTGCTGTTTCCAGAATCAATAATTCCCTTTTTGAACACGTGGTTGTGACCAATACAATACCCCAGGAAGAAAACATGAAACTTTGCAATAAAATTGCGGTAAGTTTGTCATTACATGACTTATATGGTGGTAAGTGAAAACAAATCCATTAATTTGTGGAAAATTATATGGAGCTAGAGTGATCACTGGGGAAGAATTATAGTCATTACTTGCCTTTTGCAATTAACTGCCAGAAGCACATTAAAGTTTAATGTAGAAAGAAACAAAATGACCAAACTAACAATTTAAACTTTGAGTTGATGATAGACTGTGTTGAAATTTTGCACTAAGTTTGGCTAGAGTAACTATTAAACTGAAACAAATGCTTCACTTATGTAACAGAATGTAAGTTTATAGAAGGTGATTTTCTTACTACAAATACACAAGAATTTGTTATTGTTATAGTGGGACATGTTTTGCCCTGAGCATTGATAACTAGTTACCCTGTACCCTTTGTCATGACACCTTTTGATATTCTCAATCAGTAATTTATCCAAGAAAAAATTCAGGGCAGATTTCATACTTTGCCTCTCTGTGCTCTTGCTGGCAGACTTTTCAGCTTTGACCTAATTGATGAACTTATTTTAATTTCTTTAAAAAATTTTCAAAATCATTCAGACAAATATTTTCACAGTCTTCAGAGAAAGTGGCATTTGAAAATTAGCAAAACATTTTACATGTTAGCACGAGTCCAGTGATTGTAAAGTGACAATGGGGTATGAAATAAAAAAAAAAGGTGCCTTCTACATGCACAGGGCACAACATACACCTTCAAAGATTTTAAACTGACGAAGAAGGGGAACATTCCTTATCAAAAGCTCCAGGTGACCTCGTAACCAACATATTGTGACTGATGTAAAATATTTCCAGTGCCTTTAAAACTTGTTTTCTTGTAATCATCTGTGACAGATGTTGTTCACAACAAAATTGAACAGATTCCAGCATTTTGCCCTTTCTCAGTATTTTGTTAGTTGCCATGAACGAGAGCCCAGTGTCAAATGTTGTGTCCTGTAGCATCATTTGTTTAATGTGTTTGGTGATATGGAGAAAGCAGAATATTAGTCGTATTAAGTGTGTCTGACTTTGCATTAGGTGTGACTGAATGCGACCATTCTTCCAATACTTTGCACTAATGTCAAGTTTTTTTTCCATGTGTTTTGCTTCCAGTGCATAGACGTGTCAATGGTTTTTGCTGAATCAATCCGAAGAACCCATAATGGAGAATCGGTCTCCTTTCTCTTCAGCCATGTCCCACTGTAGCCAGATCTAACCAGTATTGGCCAGTCCTTGGTGCCAGGTGGAGTTTGGATACTGCTATGGCATTCCTTGAATGTTATTAAGCATATTAACTGTTATTATTGTTTTTTTTTCTCTCTCATGTTTTTATACCTATGAAAATTTTGCTTTTTGTTTGAAATGGAAGTTCCAAACTACCAGATATATGTTATATCTGTTTACCATACATTTCATTGCTTTGGTTGATTAATTATTAAATATCTGATTGATTAATAGATCTGTTTGTGTGAAAAGCACCATGTTTGGAATTAATTTTCACTTAAATGCTTTTTGATTTGCTTTTCTATCTCTCTTTTTTTTACTAACTAAAATATTTGGAAATGTGATATTGCGCATAAAAAGTGCAGTGGAAACAATTTTAATCTTCTGACTATTTTTATTTGAATATAACTTTATATGCACATTCTTTTAACATGTTGGCTTTATTTACTAATTTAAGAGATTAAATATGCAAATAGTTATTCATTTGAAATGTGTAAATGATTAGACCTTTAATCTCTTTAATTTTAGCTTAGTATATATGAAAAATTCGCACTGCTTGATGACAGCTTTTAAAATTTGAACAATTTAGCTTAGCATATTGTAGTACAGCACTGAATTAAAATATAGAAATGTGATGCTAATGATTTTTAGATAAAAAGTCAATTTACTGTTATGACAGTGAAAACTGTCAGAAGTATCTGGTGGTTTGGTGATAATATTAACAAAGAAAACTATGAATGACTAATTTTACTGGATGGTTGTTGTCATTTTAAGCACGAGAATTGACATATACCATCTGGTAGGTTGCTGGTATTTTTAACATGGAGTTTACATTGACTGCTAGTTACTGTTTGTTGGGAAATGGAGAAAAGTTTCGCCTATCTTGTGTTAAAATGTTTAGATATGTTTAGACCCAGGTACGAAAGGGCATGTTTACTAATTATCTGCTCCTATCATTTTCTTTTGCTTTTAGACTTCTCCCACCTCTCACCCTTGTATCCCAAAATCTGTGTTTAAAACTATAAAGGGTTTTCTACTCCCATTCCTTACATATTTTTGCCACAAAATTCTTTTCTTGTATTGATTTATTTATGGCATAAACTCTTATACCTTGGCCAGATTATTATAGGATTTTCTCATTTTGTTTTACAAAAGATTGACCTCTGTAGCTTCATTATATTGATAAGTCCAATTACATTCTTTTAGCTTGATGCCAGTGGTGAATGGAAAGGATATTATTGTGCCATGCAAATTTTAGCTATGTTAGAACTAGCCATCAGATTGCATCCCCAAATCCAAATGATTTAAAGTCTGCCCGTTTGTAACATATCCTGAAAATATTCCTCCAAAACTTTCTATCACTGTATGTTAAAGAGCCAAGAGTAAGATACTGGAAGGCTAATTCTCCAGGCTTGGTTTTGAAAACTTAATACAATATAACAGAAAGTGCATTGTTGCACTATCATTGATTACCTTGATAGCAACGTGTGGTAATTGCCATAACAGTGCCATAAGTTTCTCTCCAATGAAATGATTGGTTATAATCTTACATGTAAATCACAGTAGATCATGAACATTGATGGATGGGGTGACAAACTTCCCAATATTTACAATGGTCTCCAGTCCAGGTCTTGGGGAGCGTGAGGGGATTGGGGGGGGGGGGGGGTGTCTGTCAGTGACAACGTCAGAAAAGGTTCATACACAATTGAAACATCACATGAACAAGTGTTTGATGAAATTGTGGGCAGCTACAACTCGAGCCCAAAACTGCACATATAATCAATAGAGAAATATTGATAATACAAATAGTAATAATATTAAGAGCTAGATCCAGTGAAATACTTGAGCCATTCATTGTTACAGTATGTCATACACATGAAAACATGTCAAATACTTCTGTCTGTCAACTTTGTAAAGGGTTTCCATCTCTTCTTATGCCCTTGGCACTTGGAAGCTAAAACAGCCGATTTTATCTGGTCCCACTGAACCACACCATTCCTGTCCTTACATTTTTGCTTATCCTCATGTTTTTGGAATTTTTCACCATTGTTCTACACCTTCTTACACCATTCTGGTCCCCACCCCCCCACCAAGTAGAACCTGCCCTGCAATACGGTTCACACTGCATGCATGATTGGAACTGATTGGAGGTTATGATTGCTGATATAACACTATAATTTACTATTGATTGCAGCATCTTTCTATTTTAGCTAAAGGCAGTGAATTGTTGGTTTGACTCGTTTTTAATTCCTTTCTGATTGCATTTTCAGTGCATTGATGTTTCCATGATGATGGCAGAAGCAATAAGGAGGACACACAATGGAGAATCCGTCTCATATTTATTTTCTAATGTGCCTCTTTAACTACCAGTTGTGGAAAATGGGAGTTGAGGATTTAGCAGAAGCTGAAAAGCATTTAGCGAACGAGAAAGCTGCAATGTGTGCAGTCCTTGGATGAAACTGGTTACAAGTTTCTGAAGATTACACAGCTAAGATTATGGATTACTTCAGTATTTGGCATTCTTGTGGAGATATGCCTCTGTATTGTTCATGGACTGAATATTGGCTGGACCATAATTGAGAATACTCCTACAAATACCTTTACAAAAAGGATTGAACAACATATTTGACAATCTAGTAATAATTTTTTTAATAACTATTAAGAATAATGCATGGAGAATAGAAGAAAACAATTTAAAATGATTGCTGTGTGTATAATTGTTACACTGCCAAAAAGCACTGCCTCACACCTTTGCTACTAGAAGCCACTGCACACCCTAGTGTAATTCATTTCAATTATTTCACATTTCCCTGCACATCCCTAGGTCACAGGTGAACTTAAAAAGTACAAGAGAAAGAAAGGCATCAACATTTAGGGTAAACAGACCTAGTAGAAACATGATAAATGTATATTTTTATCTCGTATTTTATTTGGAGATTTTAATGACATATTTACATTGTCATTGATAGAAGTTTGGAACAGTTGGATGGAGGGAGGGATTAGAAATATAACTGATTGAAAATGAAAATGAGACGATAAGAAAAATGTGAAGCCATTTAAAACAAGATCACTCGTTAAAATAACAATGTAATTTTTATGACAAATAAAATGTAGAAAAAGGGATTTTTGTTCAACTATTCAAGAAAATGGACACTCTGCTTAGAGTAATGTGTTCTTTGTGAGATTAGCCTTGTTATTAATCACAGAAAATTGAAGACCTGAAACTTTTTCTAAATGTGTTCCTATAGATGTGACTTTACAATAAAATTATCTGCCTTGGACTAAGTAAATTTCTTTGGAATGTCCACAGGCTTAGTTCGTTATTTTTTGCATTTTATTTGTGAAATGAACCAAACAAAGGCTGATTAAATGAAGTTTCACTAGTTTACACCCATTCACTGCACACGACACTGCAAAAGTAACTGCGAGCTATATGTTGCGTTATTTAAAATAAACATTCTAGTCATTTTCTGAGACGTTAAACATATTCACTTCTTGACAAATTGCAGATTCTCTATGTTGGTAAAAATGAACTTAACCGATTGGAGAATGTGAGATAGTGCTTTGAGTGACAGTGAACCATTTATCAGAGTTCACAGTTTGAAAGTGACAAATCTGAGGTTGACGAGATTTCTCAGAAGTCCCACCTTTTCCACTAAGACCCACACAATTCTTTCTCTACTTCTACGGTTTGACCTACTTGTAATTAGATGCATCTCTGGGAAAAATAAATAAGTGGCCAATTTGATTTTTCTTTATCATTTAATGTATTAAGTATTTGAGTACAGCAGCCAGTTAAATCATTTCTACAATAATAATAATAAGAAGAATATATTTAATGGCTGATGATATTACAGCGGTGCACAGAATCCCAAATCCTCACACAGGGGCAGATCCAGAGATATTTTCTGACAGTCTTCCAATTTATCTTTGTTGGCACATCCTCCACTACCCCCACGGTCACCCCTGCATGCGCTCACACACATTTATATATATGCAGTGGTGTGTAATTAAAAAGTTAAATTGTTTACGAGCTCTTGGTCAAATGTTACTGGCCCTAAGTCAAACATAGACCAAGAGGACCAACCTCAGATCAAATATGGCAGACCCTACATGAAAAAAAAAAAAAAACGACTTAATCCACTGATGGTCTCCCCGCCTCCACGTGCTGTCCTTGCAGGGGTATAGCAATTAAATCTTGGAGCTGAGATTTCATCTGTTAAATGGCTTGTATTTGACCCATGGATCAGTAGATCCTAGGATCTTCTGTTCTAAATGGCCTTCAACTGGTAAAATCTGCTAACGTGTTTATAATGAAGTAACTTCACCCGCATATTTTTTTTTATCTTCTCATCCTTTTTTTAAGAAGAGAAGGCATGTGCACATCATTTGGCTTTTGGAATTCTCTATGGTCAGTGAAATGGAATTTATAACAAAAAATACTGCAAATCAACACAAACCCTTTATTAAACTGTGTAAACATTTCGTATACAGAGACATTGATTAATTCGAGTGGTATTTATGAATTCCAACACTTCAGGTGCACAAACACACAGCAATGTTTTCATTTTAAACTGAATTCTATCATACGGTCCCATTTTACAGAAATTATATTACCTATTAGTGTCAGTCTTTCCAAGATTTTCATCATCAAATTCACGAAAAGTTAAAATTGATGAAGTTAGATTTTACCTAAAGCAACAAAAATATCCTAGTGTTTGTCTATATATTCTTTCTCTTAATCGTACTTTACTCCATGGTCTCTCTCCATAAAATGCTTCAATTTCTCATTCCGTAACTCTTTCTTAGGATCGACAACGGTTCCATCGTTGAAGATGACGGGCATATTATCTATGTACCTATAACCTCTAGCTGGAAAAACTGCTGGGTCTTCAGCGCCATAACAGGTCTGAAATGAATTGAAACAGAAACTGATGATAATCTTGTATTCATTAAAATGTTCACCACAACTCTGACAGAAATCCATCCATGTAGTAGTGTCAAGTTGTAACCGCATTTAAACCATCTGAATTTGACGCAAATTTTCTCAAGCCTACCTCAGTTTTCGGCCTCATCCAAGACCTTCATTACAGAGGTTGGAATCAAGTACCTTTCAGAGGTGATGGTAATATCCTGAATGTGTGACAGGACAAGACACTAGGGAAGGGTGATTTCTTGATATTGTATGATGTATGTGTGCTTTGAATAAGTGCACCCATAAACAGAGCAGTTAAAGTGACTGGGAGCAGACTGAGATCAGAAAAGACACATTGGGTGAAAAGACTCCCTACATAGTTCTACATAGTTCATCCCAACTCTGCAGTCTCTTGCTGAGTGCAATTAGCTCAAATGATCGGCACATCTCCTGGCGTTGGCCAGAATTCAAAAAGGCTGGCGACAATACAAGTTGGCCATCTCAGTTCCCACAGGGCCTGATACAATAATTCTATAACAGACAACTAGTGGACCTTGTGGTCAGAGAGTATGGTCTGGCAATGAAATTCCATGGGAGAGACTGGGGACACCAGAGAAAAAAAGGGGTAAAAGGGGCAATTTACTTGTGCCCACAGGCCTAGCCTGAACTAAGCCAGGGTGAGAGAGACTAATTGTAGCTGAAACTGGATATTTCAATCAGTTCAGTGTTTTGCACTAAGACCCCATTCCCATACCTATAGGTATGGGAAAGGGGGTCCAGGCCTAAACATCACTGACGTAGGTCTTGGATCATACTCATAACACTAGGATAGGTGCCAAGAAAAATTTGTGTAGAAATGTGGTACTTTTAAACTTTGCAATAACCACCAAGAATGAATGGATTTTGATGAAGAGTCTTAAGTCAAACAACACTTGCATTGCCGCAATAATTTTCAGCTGTTCAAAATCTGTATAAAGATTTAAAATATGACTGACTCACTATTCTTGCAAACACCAGAAGTTAACTAGATAGATCTAACAGTCTGACTGACAAATATATAATAATAATAATAATAATAATAATAATAATAATAGTAAATATATTAGATCTTACCCAGTATGCAGCGGCAATAAAAATAACAATTTGGATGCCTATGTGAATATTGTAAACTCTGTTTTTTCTGTCATACTGCTCTTTCCATGATCCCTCTGCTTTGGGCATCCTATCCATTATTACTCCAAAGTATTCATTTCTCTCTCGTGGTGAAGGCAGATCACCATGGCCACCTAAAGCTGATGCAGATACATGGATGTTGGACCCTGAAATTAAATATAAAATAGTCATCTTGCTGTCCACCAGTTAAGGTGCCGTGAAATTAAACACCTGCAAAAGAAAACCAAAAACAGGCTTCAAAATGCGCCGGGTAGAAGTCAAATAATGAGGCAACCTACTGCATAGAATCCTGTACAACAGAAGCTGCACAACCAATGTGATTATTCCAAAGATATTTCTTGGTGGGAAATGATTTCTAATGAATTTTTCGCGTTGAGAAGTGTTTGTGGATGCCATTGCCCCTTCCAAAGGACATGCATGATTTCACAGCGGCATACCTACAGCACAAGCAGATGAATCTTACTTTAGTCGCGGCTCTGTTGACGAGAAAACTGGTTGGCCTTACATGAGTGTGCAAGTTAAGAAAATGAGAGGAAAAAAGATAAAACTCTGAGAGCTGCTGCATCAAGGTGAATGCACAAACTTGTCGTCATTTTACACTTTTTGGGGCCCTTGCTTTCATAGCCCTTGCTAGTAATATTATCTCACATCAGAGGCCGTAAATAGGCGTGGTAACGCATGAATTTAGTGCTACCAACTCCACTGCTTACAGGACGATACTGCCTACTAAGTACTACTACTAGTAACAAAGGGCCCAAATATTTATGCACTAATATAAATCCAATGTTCTTCATCTGAAAAAATAACTTGCTTTGTTTTGACTTTTACTTTGGGGGCTTTCAATATCAATATAACATTTGCTGTAAAAAATAACAATATTCTCGAAGCGAAGCCAAAGGGCGACCTTGTCAAGAGACATTCGTCCATAAATTAGTCACGTTCTCCCTGTGAGCAAATGGAAAAATATACCATAACAGTAATTATTTTCTTATATAGAATTTCGACAAAAAGCTACTTACTGGAGGCGGTAATAGCCCGCCTAACAAGTGGCGTCAACTGAGATGCTCTTAAAAGCATTTTAACGTCTTTTGATGTTTGCGAGATGGTCTTACGCAAAATGGCCGACGCTTTACTTCACGGACTGAATTATTAGACGAACTATATTGCTCAAAAATCGGCATATTTGGTTTTGCAAAAATTTCACCTCAATATTCATTTTTCTGGTGTATAAAAATGTGCATCAAATACATTTATAATAGTGAAATTATTTTGTTCTGTAGCCTCATGTCATTCATCCCGCAGCAAAAAGACTTCCTGTTTCAGAATGGACAGGTTAGAGTGGTCGGATGGGAACTTATTTCCAAATGAAAGCACTTCCATTCAACAAATAGGCGTTCGGATATATGACGGAGAAGATAAGGTACTACCTTCACAGCATGGCCTTGTATATCCTTATGTCAAGCATGGATTCACTTGTTTACAGCCAAGTAATCCATTTCAACTGGAGAGTGAAAGAATTCTGATACATGTACTGTACTGACATTGTGAGGGTCTGTGATTATCTGTACTACAGTACAAAGATCTGGAAGATGTTCTTCATATTTACAGAGGCTATAGAGTCTGAACAAAATTTAATCGTATTAACGACGAGAAATGTTAAAGAAAACTCGGATACAGCAATACAACAAATAAATTTTGTGAATTCTTTTCAAAACACTTGTTTTTTTTTTCAGACACCATTTGATAATGGCTCATTATTGCTTACCTCTCACCGTTTGATATGGAAAGATGCAAAGGACCAGGTAGTTATATGTGTGCTACATCCCCTATCCATACACACACATACACGCATGCACGTACTCACGCATGCACGCACACACTAGTATACCCCCCTAGCTAGAAAATTCATGCGTTAGCACTCCTATTGACGATTCTGATATGCACTGTCTGTGCTGAATCTGTTAGCACAGACAGTACATATCAGAATCGTCAATAGGAGTGCTAATGCATGAATTTTCGTGCTAATACCCCCCTTACAGAGAAAGATATAAAGAGAGAGATGAACTGGGTGAGAATTGATAGACATACATGCAAGCACTCACTCACACACATGCATGCATATTAATTCCTATTTGCACTATGCAGTTTAATTATGCGGCATTTAATTCAATCTAGTCATTGCCTCGAAGACATGTCAAACTAAACAGCTTATATTTTTTATATATTTATGTTCATCACAAGATAGCCAGTACAGATATATTCATTGCACATTTATCTCTTGAATTAAATGATTAACTGTTTTTCTAGTTTTATTTCTTTAATTTATTTTTAGACATGTGTCCTGTCCTTGCCCTTATCCTTAATTGTATTTGTAGAGGAACAAGCAGGAGGTTTTAGTAAAAGGTAAATAGTAAGTGGCAAAGAAAGGAACCGATTCCTGTTGTTGATAAGGCGATTTCTTTTCCCAGTCAATAAATTATTAAATTGTTTGATTAATAATGATAAAAGTGCAGACCTTTTTCTGCATGATGTATGTTTGGCTAGATGAAAAAAAAAGTAAAATGAAGAAGAGGTCCTCTTGTAAACTACTACAAGAAAAAATTGAATATATGTATATAATTATTCTATTGTTATCTAGATATTATTCTAATGTTAACTAGATATCATCAGTTCATATAAATAGAAGCATTTTTGAACTGGATACAGTGAAAATGCATGACTCGAAAAGCAGCCATGCACTGGACGCCAGAGGGACACAGAAAAAGAGACAGACCTAAGGCCACATCATGGAGAAGGAATGTGGATGCAGAGCTGAATCAACTGGAACCATTTAACACCTAGCTGGTTCCAAAGAGCAGTGGAAAATTTTTTGTTGATGCCTATGCCCCATTCAGAATAAGGGACTAACTAGTCCAAGGGTCACATATGGCCGACCCACTTGAATACTTCCCCTTGGGATATCTATTCAGTATCTATTAGCAGATTAGATGGCAAGCTTTGTAGTGGGTTGTCATAACTGACCCTCTGACTAGTTAGTCCCCTATTCTGAATGGGGCCCTAGATAACATCCAGCATAAAAGGAATTGAAGAAGTTGAAGAAAAAAATCAGTATACACCATACATAGCAGCACAGTATTACGTATAGTTTCTATTCTTCATCCAGCCCTAAAATCCTGGCTCACCTCAGTGCCCCAATGCCAGGCAAACAGCCCGGACCAGCCACCAGCAGCAAGAACCATTACATCAGGTTTTCCTTCACACAGGGAGGGATGACAGAGGTAGTGTCTTTTGATAGTTGGTGGGAGAGTTTATTTGACACCAGTGTTTGACTTTCAAAATAGTTTATATAATGGGAAAATTTAGATTTCAGTCAACAAAAACTTGGGACTGTTTTAGTTTGATTCAGCTTAACACTGTGATGGAATGGTGTGGAAAATATAAACATTCTAAAAATGGCATCGTGTACAATACTGGATTTATTGGCTTTATTCCATGTGGTCGTTTGTCGGTTATGTGAGTGACTGTGCTGAGTTATACAACAACATTAAAACCTTAGTTTTACAGGTGCTTAGCAGATGAGTTGGCCCACAGGAGGTGGGAACATATTCCCCTGACGTCACATCAACCAGCTTCACAGGTATGTATTAAAACAGCATGTGACCTACATGGCCAGGAGTTCACACACAGGTAGGTAGATACAGCATGTGACCTACATGGTCAGGAGTTCACACACAGGTAGGTAGATACAGCATGTGACCTCCATGCTGGGCAATGGCAAGATATACACTCAGGCATGTACATCACTTGACAAATTTGAAAAAAAATTGCTCAGTATAATTGACTTTTCAAAAAACTGACTGCGATATTGGTCAGTGCATTACTTCCATGCTATGCAAGAATTCAAATTAAAGTAGGGACAGTGTATAATTTATATGCTATGCATGGGTCTTGGATATATTGCAATTGACAAACTGTAGGTGCTTAGTGGGATATATCTATTTCTTATCATTATTTAAGTAGGTAAGACATAATTTGAAGGTCCGTATTATTTTCAGACACAAGTTGTCATGTTGGATCATTAGATTAGTCACTTTTCAGTAATATGTTTTTAAATTTAGGTTTTGATAATATTTTATGTTGTTTGATTTTTTAGAAAAGGCATGTAAGAGCAGCAGGGATTGTGGGGATAGAGAGAAATATCCAACAAAAGCACAAGGAAACTGATCAGAATATATCTGTAGCATTTGAGGATTTGAATAAACTAATTGCAAAGGTAAAGTGAATTTTGTAAAGAAGAATTTTTTCTTTTTGTAATGTTCAGGTTCATTTGTTAAAAGCTTTGTTTTATATGGAATATTCTTATTATCTTATGGGATTAGATAGAATATTGAATAATTATTTTCAATGGAAATTCACTTAACTATAACATATGAAGTTAGCAAAAATGAGGCCTGACATATTTTAAGTGATCCTCTTCAAAATCATTTTTTATTCGTATACTGACAGTATGTATGTTAGAAAACTTTTGAGGTAAGATCAGCCCTTTAGAAACATTACTTACAAAAAAATTGATACAGTAGGGTGGATAAATTTATGTTCTCTAGGCAAAAGATATGGTGACACTTGCAAAGGGGATTTCTAGCAAAATCAAAGAAAAACAGGGAGACATAACAGAGGATGAGGTAAAGAAAATCAGTTTGGTGGATGAAAGGGAAAAACACATGCTTTTGATTCCTTTGATAAAAATCACATCAATGTACCTAAGTATGCAAGATTGGTAATAAAGTTGAAAACAAGTAACATTTCATTAGTATACTTATTTCATATTGTCCTTATTTTCTTCATGGTAAATTTAGAACAGTTTCCATATTTATTGTCAGTTTTGCATGTGTGCCTTTAAGGGTGAAAGGCAATTTTCTTTTTTATCAGTGATTATTTTTCATCAGGCCCATTTGGTTTATAAATGTAGACAAGCATTTGTGTTGCACTTTACTGTTTGTAAGACTGGTGTTGCTGTTTTTTTTCCAGACAATCCGTCTCCAGTCTTACTTGCTAAGTTTGGGAGTAGATGATCCTGTCACTAGAGAGACCCATGGATCTGGGCAAAGTTACTACAGGGAACTGGCAAAACAGATAGGCTCCATGTTGGAGCAGCCACTGAGGGTGGGTTAAACATAAGCACTTGCTGTCATACCTACACTGTCACACCTAGCACACTGAGACACACAAAAAAACACTATTTTAATTTAAACACCCTCACACAAGATATGCAGTTTCACCTAATACAATACCACACAATTTATCACATAATTTCAGGTGCATAGTCACACCTAACACACTGTCACACCTAACACACTGTCACACCTAAAACACTGTTTAACCAGACATGGAGTCACACCTAGCACACTGTCTTATATACTATCACATTTATTTAGATATTCAGTCTTATTGTCAAGTGTTCAGAATTTGTATGTAATTAGTGCACCTCTTGATAATGTACCTGACACAGTGTTATATTGGCACACGAGATACAAAAGACAATCATTTTGTTATATCTTTTAAAAATGTTTTCCACGTTTCTGTTTCAGGAGAGTGGTGGCATAATGACACTGACTGATGTTTACTGTAGGGTGAACAGAGCAAGAGGAATGGAGGTATGGGGACTTGATGACTGTGGGTGGGGGTGGGTGGGTGAGGGGGTGTATTCTTGTGCATGCATGTACTAGTATGTGTTGATTATTGAATGTTTTTCTCTTTCTTATAATAAGTAAAGACTTTTATCATTGGTCAAATTCTAAAAATCTCCAACCACCATCAAAATATTGCAGCATTCTCCATAAAGTTTAAACCCACTACTTTTATTTCATTGTTTTTTCTCTAGGAAAGTAACCCTCTTAAGTTTCTAATATACTTATTCATTTTGTTTATTTTCTTGTTTTACGAAACAATGTGGTATCAAGTGGTGGGGTTTGATTGTTTTATTGATGAATAATCTGTTATTGATGGCAGAGTTTGGTGCAGTACTTTTTCACAAATATTCTGTTATTAATGCCAGTGTACTTAGTTTGGTGCAGTTATCTGTTGCTGTTTCAGCTCCTTTCCCCAGAAGATCTCATAAGTGCTTGTAAACTGCTGGAGGTGTTAAAACTACCTGTCAGGTATGCTTATGTGGGTTAGATATATCTAGGTAAAAAATTCCATAATATTTGATATTAACAATAACATAAACCAAGCAACAAAGACAATTTTGGTTTCTTTAAATTATTATCTTGGTGTATTTTAATCTAGTTCTTATATATCTCATGTTTGATTTGTGTTTCTACATGTTTGATTATAACATGTTTTTTCATGACAATGTTCACATTTACTTATAACTCGTATCTACTTTTACAGGCTCAAGTCATTTGACAGTGGAGTACAAGTGTTACAGTTGCAATCACATAGTGAAGAGGAGTCTATAGAGAAAACCGCAAAACTGGTTTGTTTGTTTTTTGATCACCACTTATATCCAAGCAGATGTAAAATTGTAAAAAGCGGATGTTTAACATTCTTACACAAGACAATAAAACCTTGTCTGTCAGCTGTTAATGATAAATGCAGATTATCAAGTATTTTCCTATACATTTATTTATTTATTTATTTATTTATTGTCATCAGGTAGAGGAGAATGGTTCACTGACTGCTGAGGAGCTATCAACTATGGCTGGGTTGTCAGTTATTTTAGCCAAAGAAAGGTGAGTATTGAGAGTTTAAAGAAATAAACATACTGGCATGTCTGATATGCAGTCACACATAACATACTATCATGTCTGACATGTAGACTCACCTAAAACACTTCAGTGGTTGATATTCATTCACATCTAACACAATATCATCTTTAAAATACCCTTATAAGGCATTGTTATCTTTGATTTTCAGTCATACTTAACATGTAGTCATCTTAGATATGCAGCCACAGCTAACACATTGTCATCTTTGATATATTGTCACAACAAACACATTATCTTTTACAGTCACACCTCACATTGTCATCTTTGATATACAGTCACAGCTAACACATTTTTAGCATTTTTTTACAGTCACACCTCACACATTGTTATCCTTGGTATACAGTCACATGTAACACTGTCGTGTCTGCTGCACATTTATACTTAGCACTTAAATCTGTGTGTCACACCAAGCACACGGACATGCTCTTTAAGTCTCACACCTGACACCTGCCTCATTTTCTACCACACCCTGAAACTGTGCATTTTTTAAAGAAGGTAATTTTATATTTTGCAATAATGACATTAAATAATGCAGTTTTATTGATAAGAATTTAAGGATTTTTTTGTGTGTTTTAGGTTACTATTGACAGAGAAGTCAGGAGGAGTTTGTAGAGACGAGTCCGTAGAAGGCCTGCGATTTTATCCCAATCAATTTTTAACCAGGAAAGACTTGTATTTTCAACTTGGAAGGACATTATGATACAAGTCCTGAAAAGAAGGAAGGAAGTGTTATTCTTATGTTTTATCTGCATGACAGTGAAATCAAAATTAGAGAAAAGAGACTTCCGTTTACTATGAAGGATATTATGAAAATTAGCTTTTTGATGAATTTCATCGAAAAAAGGGAACTGATATAAATTTGCAGTTGTGACTTCTAATGAATTAAAAACCATAATTGTGCTTGCTTGAAAAAGGTGTGGTTTGAAGCTGATAAATGGTATGATTACTGNGTGGGGTTTGATTGTTTTATTGATGAATAATCTGTTATTGATGGCAGAGTTTGGTGCAGTACTTTTTCACAAATATTCTGTTATTAATGCCAGTGTACTTAGTTTGGTGCAGTTATCTGTTGCTGTTTCAGCTCCTTTCCCCAGAAGATCTCATAAGTGCTTGTAAACTGCTGGAGGTGTTAAAACTACCTGTCAGGTATGCTTATGTGGGTTAGATATATCTAGGTAAAAAATTCCATAATATTTGATATTAACAATAACATAAACCAAGCAACAAAGACAATTTTGGTTTCTTTAAATTATTATCTTGGTGTATTTTAATCTAGTTCTTATATATCTCATGTTTGATTTGTGTTTCTACATGTTTGATTATAACATGTTTTTTCATGACAATGTTCACATTTACTTATAACTCGTATCTACTTTTACAGGCTCAAGTCATTTGACAGTGGAGTACAAGTGTTACAGTTGCAATCACATAGTGAAGAGGAGTCTATAGAGAAAACCGCAAAACTGGTTTGTTTGTTTTTTGATCACCACTTATATCCAAGCAGATGTAAAATTGTAAAAAGCGGATGTTTAACATTCTTACACAAGACAATAAAACCTTGTCTGTCAGCTGTTAATGATAAATGCAGATTATCAAGTATTTTCCTATACATTTATTTATTTATTTATTTATTTATTGTCATCAGGTAGAGGAGAATGGTTCACTGACTGCTGAGGAGCTATCAACTATGGCTGGGTTGTCAGTTATTTTAGCCAAAGAAAGGTGAGTATTGAGAGTTTAAAGAAATAAACATACTGGCATGTCTGATATGCAGTCACACATAACATACTATCATGTCTGACATGTAGACTCACCTAAAACACTTCAGTGGTTGATATTCATTCACATCTAACACAATATCATCTTTAAAATACCCTTATAAGGCATTGTTATCTTTGATTTTCAGTCATACTTAACATGTAGTCATCTTAGATATGCAGCCACAGCTAACACATTGTCATCTTTGATATATTGTCACAACAAACACATTATCTTTTACAGTCACACCTCACATTGTCATCTTTGATATACAGTCACAGCTAACACATTTTTAGCATTTTTTTACAGTCACACCTCACACATTGTTATCCTTGGTATACAGTCACATGTAACACTGTCGTGTCTGCTGCACATTTATACTTAGCACTTAAATCTGTGTGTCACACCAAGCACACGGACATGCTCTTTAAGTCTCACACCTGACACCTGCCTCATTTTCTACCACACCCTGAAACTGTGCATTTTTTAAAGAAGGTAATTTTATATTTTGCAATAATGACATTAAATAATGCAGTTTTATTGATAAGAATTTAAGGATTTTTTTGTGTGTTTTAGGTTACTATTGACAGAGAAGTCAGGAGGAGTTTGTAGAGACGAGTCCGTAGAAGGCCTGCGATTTTATCCCAATCAATTTTTAACCAGGAAAGACTTGTATTTTCAACTTGGAAGGACATTATGATACAAGTCCTGAAAAGAAGGAAGGAAGTGTTATTCTTATGTTTTATCTGCGTGACAGTGAAATCAAAATTAGAGAAAAGAGACTTCCATTTACTATGAAGGATATTATGAAAATTAGCTTTTTGATGAATTTCATCGAAAGAAGTGAACTGATATAAATTTGCAGTTGTGACTTCTAATGAATTAAAAACCATAATTGTGCTTGCTTGAAAAAGGTGTGGTTTTAAGCTGATAAATGGTATGATTACTGTAACCAAGTGTCGCAAAGTACCTCAACATTACAGGGAAAAGCCATTTTATTATTAAAAGTGTGTATTCTTGGCAAGTAAACGTGCCTTGTCCACATTACCAGCATAGTTGATAGCACATTTATTTTTCAGCTATAACAATTAACGATTCATTATTCAACATGTGCAAATATTGCTTTGAAAAGTTTTGTTTGACAAATATATAACAGATGTTTTCCAGTGCAAAAATCTGTTGAACTTGAAACATTTTAGCCGGTAACATGCAGACGGATTATAAATTGTACAATAAAAGGACGACTTTACGTGACTCGTAAATTCGGTGGTAAAAGTGAAAGGCTCCAAAAATTAATTTTATTATCTTTAAACAACTAGGTAAAAAAATCGGTTCTGAATAAAAATTTTGTCGTCATTACTTGCAAACTACACTATCGTTTCTCTACAAAAGTGCTACGTCTTCTGATGTTTAAAAAGTTGATGTACACGTATCGGTAATTATTTACGTGACTTATTATGGTTAGTGCCAGAATAAATACTGTACGTGGAGGGTTAAGAATGGCTCGTTCTACAAGAATATTGTAACATTCATAGATAAATCAAGATTTTTGCTAATCGTGAAAAATCTCTAAATAAACAATCAAATTGCATTCTGATTGTCGCCTGTCATCTTCTGAAGCTGTTAGGTTTGAATATGCACTTCAGTGTTCAATATTTTTCACCAGTCTATTTCTAGTTTCCAAAAACAAACTAAAACCGAGTGCGTTTGTGAAAAGTAATTAAGGTAAACGAGAGCACTATTTGTTGGAACAAAAACTTGACGAAACACCAAAAATGGATTTTAATATAGAAATATTAGCAAATATATGCCAATTTCACCCGCACCGCTAAATGCATTTAGTATCACTTTTCATAATGGTATATTGCTTAAAGCACTGTTTGTTGGCGATGTCCCTGGATGTATACGGAAAGTATTCCACGAGCACAAAAATCCGGGACCGAAATCCAATATCCCATGGTGAAGCGAGGTGTACTTCAAACTTTATACCTTTAGGCGATGCTAACTTCCAGTCAATACGTAACCTAAGCAAACAGTTGCGCTGTGCGCTTTAATGCCTTCTATTGACGGTGGATCGATCATACTGCTCTCGCTTTCTCGGAGATTTTTCAGTTTCATTTCACGCGCTCGTCTAATAGTGCATTGACTGTCGCGGTGAGATTGTTTGTCCATTTGCACGCATTATAATAATAATAAAAAAAACAGCGACAGGGATGAAAGACGCGAGTCACACAATGGACGTTGAAAAATGACAAGGCAGGAAGGGTGAAGATGCGAATCGGTTGTCCCTTCGATGATGGATTGCTATATAAAGGAAGATTGTTTTGTCAGCCTTATACAATAAAGGTTCGGTTCCACGCTGAAGAGAGTGCTGTAAGATTGAAGTGCTCACATGTATAGTACCCTAGTTCTGACATTTCACCATATCACTGACATAGTGTGACAACAATTGCGAGATTAGGCGTACGCACACACCTGTGCTCTAGCATGATGGAAGCGTTAAAGAGACCTCGCCAGAACAAGCTGGGCGTCTCCACCTCACTCGTACTGTTCTCTCTGTGGCTTTTGTCGCTGCTAGGGGGAGCAAGAGCCGTCCTTACTGCTGAACAGCTTCAGGAGCTGAGACGCTTCGTGAACACGACTCTCCAGTGCAAGGGGGACCCAGCCTTCGCGCTATCCATCGTCCACGACGGGAACGTCCTTCTCAGCGAAGGCTATGGCATCGCAGACCTTGAGACCCAACGTGAAGTCACTTCCTCGACAGCATTCCCGATAGGATCTTTAACGAAAGGTTTTGCTGCCGTGCTTCTAGCTCAACTATTGGCCGGAAAGAAGTAAGTGCTTACTATTGAGCGCTGTCAAGTATTTGTATTGCTAGTCCTCGCGGGGTATTAAATGCTTGAATTTTGTTGTTGCGGGGTCAATTTTGCAATAGGAAATGTATCGCCATTTATTTAACAACACTTGTGTTCTAATTTCACTGCAATTTATTTGAAAAGAAAAAACGTAAAGGTCGACCCAAGTATACAGGTGTTCCTATTTTACCCCAGTAGGTTTAACCTCAAGTACGTGTGTGTTAGTAGCATAGTTAGTGGTTACAGGTCAATTTCGCAACCTCAGATATTTGCACGTTCGTTTCACCGTTTACTTAAAAGACGCTAAGAAAATCATGCACTCCAGCGAGTTAGCATCAGGTAGAAGTATCGTGCATATATCTTATCACGAGAAACTAAGACCATGTCTGGTCGCCAAGAACTTCTATCGATCTTTATTGATAAGTTTTGATTGGTTAATTCCTGGATGGAATTGGAATCGGCAATTTACATGGATAAAAAGCATAAAAATCCTATTTTGCGCCATAAACATTTTGTTCTTTTGCTCAAACATCTATTGGAACCCTATCCAGTTAATCGCCTGCGTTTTCATAATGACAGCACTTCTTGGGGTTTAAGTATGCTAGTAGATTCTGCCTACACCTTAAGATATCACCCTGAGAACCAGGGATCGTCGAAATTCATCATCCACTATCTGCCGATTCCAGTAGCATACTGGTAAAAATAAGGCAATTAGTTTTCAGTTATCCGTGAAACTCGGGGTGGATGGAATTGGGTTCAAATAGTTTGATTTCATGTTCTGTGTAAATAATAACAACAAATATGCGTATACAACCCGAGGCTCCATGTAATAAGCCAACAGTCAACTTGGGTATACAATCAATGTAATCATCCGTCCGCTGTTTTTGTATGACTTTCTTATGCCTCATTCAATGACGGCGATTCTCGTCCTAATGTGCTCTTTGAAGGAGAAAATAAGTTAGTTAAAATGAGACAGCATTGCAGCGTGACTATAAACAGATGAGGCTTAAAGATATCTTTTTTAACACTAGTGACACAGTATCTTGAAATGAATAGCTTTAAATGATTGTTGATGTTTTCTTACTTCATACTCACCATTGCCGAACGCGTATACAATCTTCCTTTTTTTCTATTCTTTAATTTGGCAATATTTATTGAGCTCTTGCAAAATACTGGTACAGAGCTTATCGTTTACGTGCTTGTGATGAAAAGAATAGCAGATACAGCGTCTGAAAACTGTGATGGAATCCAAACAAAACAATGAAAAAGAAGCACAAGCGATTGTTCAAATATCTACATTTTAAGCGCTGCTTGTTTTCATTTGACCTCACCCGTGGTAAGCGTGCGTTTGGAGTTTTAAAAATGACAACAACAATTCACCACATGTTCCCGAACTACTTGTGTAGGAATATCGACCGTGTCTTGTTAACCAAATGTTTGCCGACAAATACCGTCTGATAAGGGAAGGTGTCGATTGTATGTTGACACACTGAGGGGATGGCATTCTACCTCTGTCATTAGTGACAGCTTTTTTTGTATATAATACCCTCCAGAATGTATACATATTGAATCTCGATTAAGTTAACAGCCGTTGAAAAGCTGTATTAATTTTTTTCCAAGTGGCTGTGTCCGGGGACTTGTCTGCTCGATGAATGCTGAATTCGTAATCGAGAATGTGTGAAAAAATTTAGTTAACTTGAAGTCGACGCGTTTACTTATTTTATCTGGTCGTAAATAACGTTATGTTGTTAGTCCAATTATGTCTGCATTTCTCTCTCTCTCATATGTTTGTGTCTTCAGCAATGGGGTTAAAGTAGAGGGACAAAAGGGGTGGGGGGCTCGTATCCCACCTTTTGCCTCCGAGGTACACCCTTTACCCAACCCCAAACCAGTATGGGGAGCGACATGAGAAAAAAACCAAACAACATTCCATCCCAATGCCCTCAATTTTACAGTCAAATTGGTGTTGTGTACTACGTTTTATATGCCAAACGAAGCGAGACATTTTTTGTCATAAAGATTAAAAACGTGTCAGTAAGATTAGAAAAAAGACCTCTTCTCAAATCCCTATCTTTTATCTTCATAGTGCTTGCTGTGGACTGAGTAATAATTATGAATGATTGGCATTCGCTAAAAATATAGTAACCTAGAACAAGTTTGGGGACAACAACAAATAAGGCTTGGCACTATATTAGTCTAAGAAAGTGACATTAAAAAAAGAACCCCAAAAAAGACACCATGGGGCACTTAAGGCAAATAACCCAGCCTATCCTTTGCTGAATAAAACCTGTTTAAATTAAGAGTGAAGTCACCACTTACGCAGTTTTTTTCCGTGAACAATGGTTTTCACCTTATATCAAAAACGACATCTGGTATTTTGTTTTTTTCTTTTTAGTTTTTGTGTGGAAGTAAACAAACATTTTTCATTTATGTGGAAGACTGATGTTCTATTGTGCTCCACAAAAGTGTTTTTGCGTATTACGAAGCATTTAATTAAAAAAAAAATAATAAAAGTCACTATATCGTTTTTTTATTTATTGCCTATACTTATAACAGTTTAACCGTTCAAATTTCACTTTTTTTAACGCCATTTGTTGTATCACTCTGGCCACCTTATTATTTTCCCAATTAGAATAATTCATTATCTACATGTTAACATTTCAGTATAACATGGACCACGCCCATAACCAGATACCTTGACCAGTCGTTCCGGTTTGCGGATGATATTCTTAATAAAGAAGTCTCCCTTGAAGACATCCTCTCCCACAGGACAGGTTTAGAGAGTGTTCTTTTGCCCCTGTTTATGGGCTGGCCGGAAAACAAAGACAGGACGGAAGTTATACGGTACGGCTCATCATAGCAAACAAAATGAAATATGAAAGTAATATTATATGCTTTATAAAAAGTTGTTTCTGAGAAACAGTAAGGCTAAAGGCATCAACTGTTTTAACAGCAGTGGTAATGTGACATTGCATTTAACGTTTGAGTAGCTTAAACAGATTTTAAGTAGAAAATACATGTATAACAATATTTGTATTTGTTTGATCTCAGCTGATAACGATAAAATGAACAGCTTTTCGAATTAATGATGACTTTATTTGTAAATTATTTAGATGACGCACTATTAACAGTGCGCATTTGTCAGCGTTACTGATATGCAGCGTATCACAAACTCCCAGCTTAGCTGTTTTTTTATATACAACGTTATTTTGTAATTCTCCTGACATTTCAGAGCACTTATGAAGGGTTTGAGGACGAAAGCACCCCTTCGAACTTCGTTTAGTTATAATAACTACCTGTACGGATTAGCAGGTGTCATAGCAGAACAGTTGTCGGGGGCGCCACGGCGTTCTTGGGAAGACCTCATCGCTCAGTTTATCCTGCAGCCTCTCAGGTTGGCCAACACAGGGTTCGTACAAGACGTACAGGAGGGAGATTTGGGGGGATTCGCCTTTCCCTATGTTAAGATCGGAGGCGAGAAGAGATTGGTCGATATGATTTACACTACAGCAAAGTAAGGTTTGACTCATTTGTAGCCCAATGTTCCTTCCCTCGGTCAATCACACGTGTGTGCTCGCGTTAACACACGCACACACACGTACTCACGCGCGCGCCAACATTTTACAATATATAGGAATCATTGCCCAAAGTAGTATGTGTCGAGTGGGTAGTGCATGTTTTTCAAAGTCTGAATAATTCTAATTGCAATTCAGTCTATTTCATTCTTATTTTATAGTTCTCACTACTTCTGTTTTAAAGGATAATGTTCTGCTTTTCAAAGGCCACAAATCAAAATTATTTCTAAATTAGGTGATATTCTCTGTCCGATCAAGAAACATCGAGAGTAAAAATAAAAATGGGAGATGCCTTCAGCCACTGACGACTAACTCAAACTGTTATATATTATATTAGATATTTTCTAACACAGATGTTGCGTAGATCACATATCATCACGATTTCTTTCCACGTCTTTCAGACAAACTATGCATCTAGCAGCAGCAGGGGCCATGTACTCTACAGCAGACGACATGGCCAAGTGGCTGAACTTCCTGATTAGCGGTGGAAAAGATGAAAGCGGGAACTTTCTTGTAGGAGATCATATGCTTTTTGGTGATATTTTCAACGACCACATGCATAACCCGCAACCATTTTCGTCCGTCTACAGTTTTTCCAAGCCCAGCTATCCGTTTGAAGATTATTCGCACAGCTACGGGTTTGGGTGGTTAGATGCTAGATACAGAGGTGAGAGTCTGCCTGTCTGCCTGTCTGAATAACTGTCCCTCCCACGCGCACGCGCGCGCGCGCACACACACACACACACACAGACAGTGAGAGAGAGAGAGAGCGAGAGGGGGGAGGCGCAAGTAATGAACCATAAACTGTCTGTCTGTCTGAATACCTGTCACTCCCACGCGCACGCACACACACGCGCGCATACACAGCGAGTGAAAGAGAGAGAGAGAGAGAGAGAGCGAGGAGAGACAGACGCAAGTAACCTGATATACAGAACTGAGTCACTGAACTTGGGTAAGGCTAGAATTCCATACACATCGGGAATTAAGTGTCGTTTTGATAATCGCGTGCATTTTACGGTGAACATCTTGTTGATTGATTACAAGCCCATCAGACCCAGATTCTGTTTTAATAAATGCGAGATGATTGATTGTACCATATGGCCAGTCATAATGACTGTCAAAATATGGAATCTGAGTCAAATGATATATTTGGAATTGCAAGTCATTTGAAAGTTAACATGATGTTGACATATACGAAACAATTTGTGCTCTAAAAGAGATACACGTGTGATTGTTTGTGCTCTATGGGCGACACTGACGGGAGTCAAATTATGAAATATAAGTTGTCATTCAAGACGCACCTTTTCGAAGACACTGTCCCGTTGTTCAATGGATAGGTATATGCTTCCTCTCTCCTTTAGTGTTGAAAGATCGACTTGTGTTTCAAGAATTTACACTTGTAAGGGAATTATGAAAATATGAGATGTTTTTCTGTACACATGTCATAGGGTAGAACGCGTTCGATACATGGGGGATGTGGATGCAAAGTTTAGTTTTTGTTTAACCAGCTTCTCAAATTTCGTATTCCGTTGATCATAGGTAGGAGTAAGTGGTAAAACAAAGTAAGTTTTATAATGCCATAGCATTATGTCTTCGATAAGCAGTATCATATATATATATATATAAGATTATTTGTGTTCAGCGTGTTGGAGGGACCTGAAATTTAAAGTTGACAGGGCGCTTTGGTCTTTTTTTTTTGTATCATATTCATAAAAACCCCGACCGTTCAATTCCCATCCTTTTTACGATGAATCGTGTTTTCTTTTTTTCCTACACTTTCTAACAATTCTGTTAACAGTAGATTTTTGACAAAATTCAGCTTGACGCCAGTCAAAAGCGGGCGTGTGCATATCCCTGTCAACCAGTCAACCAACGCACTAAAATGAACTTGTATTATGACACCGCGCCTTTTTCTTCCTCTCCTGTTTTTTTGTAAAATCGGTGACGTTGGCTTTCTGATAGTCTCATTCGCTTTGGGCTTGATCGTTTTTACTCATTTAATTCATATTAAGGCGAAAGGTGCAGAATGGAAATGCTTTTCACCCACTTGTCACTGAAGCGAGGATTTTTCAGCACGCTTTATGTTGCTTGATGCCGTCATTGGTTACGTCATTGCTGGGGGTGCTCCTTTGAACATGAAAAGCTTTCTTGGACAAATGTTGTTAAATATTTACATGGGCGAACCTGTCAATTATGAAAAATATAAGCATCCCGAAGACACGAAGAGAAAAGCAAAATAAAGATCTGGTAGATGTTCGGAAAGGTACTTATACTGATAGGACTAGACCAATATTCCTATGCCTGACTTCTTTCTTTGAATTTAGTCTCGTTTGCTAATTATTCTGCACGTAACTACCTTTACTTATTTTTCATTGTAGGTTTTCGCAAAATATGGCATTCAGGAAGCATTTCTACTTACATGGCTGTGTTATATATATTTCCACATATGAGAACGGGTCTTTTTTCGGTAACCAGCAGCAACGATGGGGACTCTGCAGCCGCACTGTACTCCATTACAAGTTACGCTTCCGATCTATTGCTTGGAGAAAGGACGTGGCTGAATGAGTCCACGGTGTGTGATTTTAAAGCGAAATGGAGTCAGGAAATGCAAGTTAATTTTTTATCAGAGTTTAATTCAAGCCGGCCATTAGAAGCATATGTAGGCACATATATTGCTGAACCCTGGCCGACGATTGAAGTCTATGTAAATGAAACGGACACCATGCTTCACATGACAATGGGGGCAATAGGGCATCTCCTTTTATATCCGACCGCCCATGCAGATACATTTCTTGGAAAATATTTGGATTATAATTTTTATTTATCAGAATCTGACTACTTTCAAATGGCAGCTACAATACAATTTAAGCAATCTACAGACGGTCCTACGAACATAGTGGACACCCTGTTGCTACCGCCTGAAAACTCCCCAATGATTTATCGTCTGCTAACCGCCCAAGGGGGAACGTGGGAAACTGGGACCGTTTTACCAGCGACTGAATGCGCTACTATGACTCGCAGTGGACACCCACAATTACAAAGCATAAATTTACTGACATTCACAGTATTTATTATAAATATTATAACTTTTGCTACTTGGTAGATATGTTATGTCAAGTGAAAATTTTGTTAATTGTTATCATCTTGTGGGAAGTGGATCTCGCTGGTATTCCGATTCATTATTCTGGCCCCATCTGCCCGTAAAGACTCCTCTTGCAGACTCGATTATTAATTAATTTTTTAACTCAATATTTGTAAAAAAAATTACTTGACCTAAACAGATTAGCGATTACAATAATACCTTGCGTTAAAGAAACTAAAGTTTTGTGACTCGTGATTAAATAAAATTGCCTGTTTGGTAAACATATTACGTCAATTCTTTAAATAAAACGTGAAGGTAACATGAGTGTGAAAACCATTGCTAAAGTTTGAGAGGGTTTTAACTTCCCCTAGCAAAGTCGATCCTCATATTAGCATTTCAATGAACGGAAAATAATATGTATGAATATAGACCTTGCCAGTTTTACACTCCAGTTGTTGTCAGAACGTATATAAGTATGCGACAGTCTCCCTGTTGAAAAAAAGCTTTTTGTCCCAATTTTTGTATCGTCTCGTTTCAAGCCGTGTTATTTTACTTTTCGTCAAACAAGTTAGGTGGTTTCCGTTCCCACACGTGAACGTTTACGAAATAAGCAATAAGCTACATATCTAATTTGACAAGTACAGAGTGATTTTAATTTGCCATGTCTATTGTGTGTACTATGGAATTCACGTGCTGTTTTTTTTTTTTTAACTATTTTTCGTATTATGTTAAAGGAGTCAGCATGCTCTCTGCGAAGAATGTACATTACGTCCCGGGATATGCCTGGTTCAAAACCCAAGAAAAACAATATTTGGAAAAACATGGTATTTATGAACATTTATGCAATAAAATGAGAAATAAAGACAATACGCTAGCGTCGTTGTACATCTAGAACACTTTTACCACATTGTTCCGTTTTCGATAAATCCAAGCGTTAAAGGTACATTTATCCATTTCGAGTCCAAACTTCTCTTACGGCGTTGAATGTTTTTTTCTTGTGTTCAGTTAACATCAAGATAAGAGAATGTACATTTTGTGACTTTCCAGATAATATCCGAGATGCATCTTTTTTCTCATCTTTCTTCCTCCAGTTCTTGAAATATCACATAAAATACTCAAAATGTATACATGTGGAATCTGCTTATTGTTAAACTTAAACGGGCGTCTTAAACAAATGCCAATACCCTTCAGTGGTTATAAAATGCTACCCCGAGATTCAGAGGTAACAGAAAACACTTCCTTACTAGGCAGAGGTATGTTGATAGTAGAAAGGCAAGCTACCAGTGACCTCTGAAATGCAGGGTGTGGAATGGCAACCCCTACTCCATCTTCAAATTGATAACAGTGGCCTTAAATACACTGCCGCAGAGTATTTTGAGTTGTGTAGGTCAATTGTTGTTCTATGTTAGTAAATTTGTAAAGACCTAAGTACGAAAAAAGTGATACAGTGACGTCTTGCAAATCTAACACAAACTCACCCCATAAAACATACAGTATACAGGAAAAAAATTCACAGTAAGATTATGGAAAACCACTGTTGTCATATAACAAGAACAGTAAGACAATGAGAAATTGAATCTTAAACTGGATCTTACTTGAAATGAAAACATCCCGTGTAGACTGTCACATGACACCATTGACAACTCGAAATGTCTTGTGACAGGGTAAAAACGTTGTGATCTCCGTTTCAAGTAAGATGTTTAAGTATATTAGTATAATACAACTGGATGAGTCAAAACATTCACTTTGAAAACAAGAATAGTTAAAGTCAATACAAATGATGGCATTTATTGCACCTAAGAACTAAAATTGCCACACCATCGTCATTCAGCAATACTGTGTATATTGACTACAAAAATGAAATGACTTGTAGTAAAATAATGTTCATAATTTTGTGTGTATTCCATGCTGAATGACAGTAGAAGAAATGAACTATTTTGCCATGCACAATCTGAACATTTATTATATATAATCCATGATTTGACTTGACACATATACCAAAGTAAAGCATTGTACTAAAATACTCAGCTTTTTAGATTGTGGTAAAATATACAATGTTTATGAATATGAAAACTAGGGATTAAGTAAGCTCAAAGCACTTTTAAAAAGGAGCCATTTGCACTTTATTAAAGCAAGGTGGTTAATAATAATAATAATAAAAATGATAACAATTTAAAGTGAGTAAAAGTCTTATTCTTTAATTGACTGAACCTTCATATCAACATATACAGATATCATTAATTCATTGCAATACTTAAAGTAAAAGATCAATATTTGTTTGATTTTTTGATTTATGGTTACAATTAGAAAATATTGGATACAGAAAATTCATATATTATTTATATAATATAATTCCACTCCTGTGCCCAAAATTAGAGTATCTTGTTCAAATGAGGTAATGAGAGATAAAAATAACACCCTGACTGTCTCTGACACTTAAGTTTTGTGACACTTTTCACCATGATGACAGGAGCATTTAGTTGCTTTTTCTATGAATAGTATGACTAAGTTTGTACACAGAAGTGCGTACTTTGCTCTCTGAGCATTGTTCTGCTACATAGCTTAACACTCAAACAAAAAAAGATATTCTTGACAATTTGCATTTGTTCTCTGAGTGTACAAATTTGAGATTGTTACAATTCCTCACATAGTTAAATTCCCTCTTCTTATACTCAATTTTTCCATGATTCAAAACCTTTAATTACTTTCAAATACATAATTGGCAAGAGCCTGAATTGGTTCATCCTTTTCAGGCATTAAAAGCAAAACATCATGTTGGGAAATTTTAGCATGTAAATAAAAATTGTTATACCATCCAGATGGCATTGTAGTAAGTGTGTGCTTCTGCAGCAGGAGCAATGACATGGGTCAGGGGACATACCAGTCCTTCACCAACAGCACCCCGGGTACTACCCCCCGTCTCCTTACTTAGCACTCAGCACTTCTAGATTGAAGCAGAGGCAAAGTGCCTGGTCTGGCTGTGAAAGGTATTGTTTGTTTGCTCGCTTTCAGTGCATCATATACAGCAACTAGGCTGTATTCTCCCCAAGGAGGTGAGAGTGTCTACAGCCAGTTTAAACCAGGGCCAAAAAATACTGGGTATGCCAGGCATGTATTGTAAACTGTACTGAGATGTGGCTTAGTTTTGTATATAAGAACCAGACTTTACTTTATAAGGGATCGCTTTGAGTGTGGTTGAATGAGTTGTTGCCACATTCCTTAATTTAACAACAATCATTTCTAAAGAGAAAAGAGGAATTTTTACATCGTTGTGTAAACAAGTCTTAAAACCATGGCAGTGGTACAAATACAGTGTCATACAAGCACATGGGCAGGATTGGGAATGATTGAGCAGAGAAAAAAGGATGTTGCAGTAAAAACTGTGTAAACTGTGTTTTGGACAGTGGTCAAAGTTTTGACCAGTGGTCAATCATGAAGTTCTTGCTATGAGATTGTACTTCTCTGGCTGAAGGAACCTGTCGATGAAATGCTGCACTATGTCTGCCAGTTCATCTTCTATTTCTTTTTTAGATTTTCTGTAAGAGAAACCAAAGTGCATCTTGAAACAATTATGTAGCTATTTTTCTCAATCTAGTTGAGGTGTTAAAAGTATATCTTAAAAAAAAAGAAAAAAAGCCCCATCATCACCATTTTTTCCAAATATTACAATAAGAGAGAATAAAAGCATCATCTTGACCATTTTAAATTCCATCATAAGAAAACTGGTATTTTTCAAAGGAACAAATAAACAAACAAATGCTCATGAAGTATAAGTTTACAGTACACCCAAATCCTCATTGTGATAGTTGAGACTGGCAAGCACAATGTGTAGATAAAATACTTCCCACCTACCCTGAATCTGGCTCAGCCACATACTCTGAGTAGTACTTGATCTTGGGTTCAGTCCCACTGGTTCTCATGGTCAGCACACAGCCATTGACAAAACTAAAGGTGATCATCTGGCTGGACTTACTGGTGGGCAGTATCTGACATGATGGAAACAACATGGTTTTGTGGCCTTACATACCTTAAATTGTTTTGTGACCATGGCAATATATGCTTTATTGTGTTTTTTGGTGAAATCCAAGTACTTGCTCTCCATATGTATGTCAAATAATACACTGCAACCCCCAGGCAATATATGCTTCAAACACCTCTTGCTGACACTTGAGGTATTCTGACACATAATGCTCTGGTGATAGTGTATTATCTCTCACACAGCATTACACTAAAATGCTTATTTCTTTGGGTCAATACAAAATATTTTTCTCTTTTTAAAGTTTTCAACTTTTTAAAATAAAATAACATAAAGAAATAAATAAAGAGATGAAAAAGAAATGCAACTGCACCTATTAATAACACATTTGAACTTAACAGGTAGGAATGCATGTGGCAAAAAACTCACAGGAGGAAAATGATATAATGGAAAGGAAAATCAGTTTTGTTATTTATATTCATATCACATCATCTAACCAAATAGTCGTCTTTATTTACACAGTGTGGCTGACACTAAGAATACAGTTAAAACTAACACACTGTATATAACAAGACATATCATATACATACAGGTTTTCCATCAGGTTGGGAGCTGTCATAGCCTGCAGTGAGATCTCTGACATGTTTTATCTCATATGGACCACAGCTGCTTGGGTACTAAAATCAGATGTTACAAATTACTTCATACCTCAGGTAATTTGATATAGTTTTTATTTAAGGATTTGAGGATGCAGAGAAGTTCAATATGACTAAAAACTAAGGCACACATGGGAAAACCAGACTTGACTGTACTAAAACTTAATTACAGTGTGTGTGTGTGTGTGTGTGTGTGTGTGTGTGTGTGTACAAAAACAGGTACAAGCATGCATTTCTGTAACTGTGCACGGATAAAGTCACTATTTATGAATGTACCAAAACAAAGTATTTAAAACACAAAAGCATCAATTCATTCCTTTAATTTACCTTTCCAGATCCTTCATAGTTCCTCAAATTGTCAAACAAAGATTTGATGGTTGGAGGGTGATGGCAGATAAAATAGGAATTGTTGGACACATGATAGCCATACCTAAAAAAATATTTAGTCAATGTCAGACATCAATGCAAAGTAGAATTATATCTTTCCAATTCTTTTTGTAAAGATGTGGGAATCTATATGCATGCAACTGTGCATGATTAATTACAAGTGCAAATGAATGAAAATATGTCTATGGCTGTACACATAACTACAGCCTATTAGTATGTGTACTATCAAACTATTTTAAAATTCAACACACTTTTCTCAAATTCAACTACATGACTGTAGTATAACAAAACTTTGAAAATCAATATTCTAAAACAATATTTCTACATCATATAAAATTAATATTCTCTATTCACCAAAACTGCACTGCATTTTTCAAAATATATAAAAAAACTACAACGCTTTTCAGTCACACACTTTGCAGGGGTGAGCCTGCCATTTGGTGAAAAAGTAGGAAAATATAATTTTGGCTCCCAAAAAGAGGGACATCAGCCAATAATCGAAGAAATCCCGTTCCTGACCACTAGTTTGCCATACTACAATCATAACTGGTCTTCATTTATCCACACATTCAGAGGCAGCCACTCACATTTCATATATCTTGTCTAACTGCTTCATAATGGTGAGGTTGTTGTGATATAAATACGTAGCCATCTCGGCACACACTGCCACAGCACTGACGCCATCTTTATCCAGTACCATGGACCCACACATGAAACCTGAAATGACAAACATAATAGACATCAGGTTGATTGCTCGGTTTTACATGCAAAATAAGCATACATGTGCACACACACACACACACACACACACACACACACACACACACAGATGAACAGAGTAATAGTTTGTACACTACCTATGCTTCATTACTTTCATTAACACAAAAAGAACAAACATAAAAACATGTCATCACATTTCAGCTGTACAGTTTTGTTCGTTTACATGCTTTTAATGCATTTTCTGCATTTTACAGAGCATCATTAAATTTTGTTTTACACATTTCCTTGGAAAAAGTGCTTCATGCTATGATAGTTTTAGAAGTAAAAATGTACCACATTCATCATTGAGTGTGTTATGAGTGACAGCAATTATGATAATACCATTAAGCATAGAATGCAGAGCACTGGTTTCTTACCTATAGCCTCTTCAAAGGCAAACACCACGCGTTTCTTTTCTTGTATCACCGTATGTGAACGATTTCCCATCCATTTGAACCCTGTCAGTGTCTCCTGAAATTAAATGATACATTAATATTCAAGCAATTCGTTTTCTTTAATCTACATTATTCTCTAAATGCTGTTATATTAGTTATGGCTGAGAAAAAATTAAGTTCAGAAAAGATAGTTAGGTTCACAAGAGAGACAAAAAGTCTGACAAAATATATTTTTGACATAATCTGTTCACAAGAAAAAAAATTACTTATTTCTACATATTTTCTCTATTTAACCTTTTGTGTACTGTAATGTTAAGTGTATAGTGGCTTTTTATTTTGCAATTTAAAAAAAGGTTAACTTGCCTCATAATTGAAACCTTCCTTTTTGCTCATGCTGTGAAGGATCTTAGAGGACACAGTACTGGCAAACATGTAAACATCAGCCCCTGAATATGTATCACATATACATGACACATATCAATATTAATAACACAAACATGTGCATCTAATATTTATTTCTGTAATTTATATAATGCTTAATATGGTGGAACTATTTGCAACCTTTGTGACATGAATGTTGGAAGAACTTACAATCATTTGATTTATTGAGTGGCTTGCACGTCCTATCATCATTGTTTTAAGTCAAATGTATACTGTGCTCTACAAAATTAATCCCAAAACTCACCAGTTTCTGTTGGATTTGCCTTCTTAAAGGTAAACCACAGCCACCATCCAAACAATGCCCCCAGTTCATTGCCAGTAAACACATGCCACTCTCCACTAAAACATATAAAAAAGCACTGTTGTCCTATACCAAACACTTTCAGGTAAACAGGTATGAGACTGCCATTTAGTAAAAGTAGCCTGGGGTCCACAGGGATGGCTAGGCTATTTTTTTTTTTTTGCTCCCAAAAACTCAGAAATCTGCTTATAGTAGAAAAAAACCTCATCCCTGGGTAAAATTCCTGCAATAACTGACATGTTGAAATTATATTTTTTTCAATGCCTTATAAAAAATCACCTCAAAACCTTGGCCCCCAAATTTGTAAATAGGATAAATATATATTTCATTAAAATGTCACAATATACATATAATCAATCCTTTCCAAAATCATTCAGCACCATTTTAAAACTACATAACTGTTTCATATCACTTATAAACAACATAGAAAAAGCCTTTAAAATATAAATTTTGATGACTATTATCATGATACCTTGGTTGCTTTTCAGCCACTGCCAAGCGGTCAGCATCAGGGTCATTGGCTAGTATCACCATACTGTGGTTTTCATCAGCTGTCTTCATGGCATAATCCTGATCAACATAGATAAATACCATGTTACCTATCAAATAAAAATCACCACGAGAAATATCTCATATAGTGTCTGATTTGCCCCAAATGTGAAGAACATGATTTCTGTGAACTGTTGAATTAGCTTAATTTCACATTAAATTTTTTATTATCTTTAAGTTTTTAAGAGAAATTTGACACTTATTACATTGAGAGTGTATATTGTACATAGTGAAGGGAGCTAGAAATGTATTTAATGACCTATTCAGTGGTTTATTTGTCATTAATAAAAAAATCTTTCATCAAAGCAAGACCTACCTACACCCTGAATTTCCAAGATTGTTGCAAACTAAGAGACCATTCCCACAGATATTTAGACCGATCTATCCCCCTGGGGAGTCTCACTAGATTGCTGTCAGCTTAAATGTCTGTTCCACCTACTAAAAGCTGTAAGGGGGCAATTAACTTTCTTGCGCGCTTGGCTCCCGGAAGCTGACAGCAATTTAGCATGAACCCCAGGGAGTAAGGTTGATTCAGATGGATCGATTTAAATCTGTCAGAACCTAGTCTAAACTCTATTATCAACATGCCACTGCTATTAGTGGAAATAACTGCAGAGACCAACTGATAATGAAGATTATTATCTAGTAACCTCTGAAGCTCAGGTGTCTAAGATCCCATTCCCATAGACCCTGCACTGATTTAAGTAGATTGACCCAACTCTGCGTGGACTCTTGCTGAGTGCAATCAACTTGACTAAATGACATTCCCCCTCTTGTTTCCAACATTCTAGCATAATCAGCAGCTTTTCTGTATTCTACTTGACATCAGGAGGAGGCGTGTTAATCTGTTAAAAACTTATTGCATTCAGCGAGAGTCCCCAGAGAGTTGGACTGATCTACGTAGACCGATGGTGTCCATGGGAATGTGTCCTTAAGCTCACCAGTGCACTCTTCCCTTCTTCAGGATTTGGGAACTTCACTGTTGGGAACTCTGGGTCAGGAACTATCTTTCAAGAGAAAGTATGCATGTTAATCATTGGAGTAAACTAGTGCACCTTGCTTATCTATTAGGGACTAATGGGTTGTTTATAAAACTGGGAATGAAATTATCACAACTGATTGTTTGAAAGGGCCCAGGTGTGATTCTACACAAGTCTTTATAATCATCAATCAAAATATCCATTAAAATTAATATGGGTGTCCTTTTACACTGTATCCTTAACCCTCAGTTGGCAAAGTCTAGGATGACCATAGGTTATTTAACTCTTGATTGTCACACAAAATGCACTCATAGGTTTTTCTTCTTACCTGTTCCAAAACTGGAGTGAAGGGCTTGAAATGAAATGCCTCAAATGCACTCACAGCAAACTGGTAACCCACACCATGCATAGCTGTGTAGGTGAACTTCAGTGGGGAAGATGGGTTCAGTTCTCTGCAAGTTGATTCAAACAATATGTCCATGTACTTGTTAAAACCTTTAAGACTGTTGGAATTTTAATATCATATAAAATAAACCTATAAAACCAATTAAACAATAGAACAAGTCAGAACTGCAAAGTACAAAGGGAAAAAGACATAAGGGAAAAATTAATAAATAAATTAACAAATCATTAAAGAGCTCACTTGAAAAAGCAGATTTTTTGCAGTTCCTGGAAATAGGAGGATTTGATTTCTTCAAAAGGTTGCTTAAGAAGTGGGTTACTATCCAGACTGTCCGTTTTCCAGGCTTCAGGCCAAGGTTCTTGGTTCTCAGTGATACTCTTGGAAATCCCTTTGTCGTGTGGAGATATAATCTGAAACAGGAACCTGAAGTTAAACTGAGGTGAACATAGCCACAGAAATTACATTTCTTTTAACAACATACAGATTTAGGTTTCATGGACTATTATAAAAATATCCTTGGCGGAGATGTGAAATTGTAACCGCTAACCTAAAATGTACTTACCTGAGCGCCATTTTCCCAGTAAACCTGTAATAACACAAAAAACACAAATATCATTTATTATTTTATTCACTTGAGTTGTATGTATCAAATATACGGTATGACATTAAAAAGGAAAAAAAAAGATACTAATGGCATGAACTGGAATCCAACATATTCTAAAGGACTAAATAAAAAAGTAAAATAAATTTTCTACTCTTCAAATGCTAATGTTATTCACCTCGGATGAACACCACAGGAGATTTTCACAATATCTGACTAGAAGAAAATACAGACTGATATCACCCCAGAAAAACTGTAATTGTTTACCTTATATCCATTATCCTCCTTAGGGTTATGTGATGCAGTGACCATAATACCACACACACACCCTAGCTTCACGGTGGCATATGGCTGTAGGCATAAAAAATTATATATATATATATATATATATATATATATATATATATATATATATATATATATATATATATATATATATATATAATTGTCCAAAGGATAAATAGCATTTCTGCTTATTACTAGAAACATTTTTACAAGTATGAAAAAACACTATTATTCCTACCCAGGTAGGTTTATTTTATATTTCCGACTTATTTTGCAAATGTACTCTTAGTCTGATAACCAAAGAAGTGCCTACTAAAAAGTATCTTAAAAGTTGCTTTAACTTACAACAAAAGGTGTTGGGCATATCTGTGAAAATAGGTAAACAGGGATGTTCTTCTGAAGGAAAGCAATGGCAGCCAGCTGTGCAAACCTAAATAAAGCAATGGAAGAAAGATTAATCATGTCATAAATCAATTTGCCCATAGAGCTGAAATTGCAGAAAATACTGCTATTACATCAAACACACAACTGTTTCTGTTACTTCACTTAATACATGTAGTTGGTAGACTTTCTTAATACTGGAACTTTTCCAGTGTAGCTATGCAATTTTCGTTATAAATTGAACTATAGCTTATACAGTATATGAAAGAAGTCTTTCCAGAAGGCAACTCAGACAAGACTGTTAGTAAGACAAGACTTTATACAGATATTACTCGCTACTATTGAAATTACTGTCTAGCTTCATTTCATTGGTATACTAGAAAATATTTGAGCATTGATATTGTAACTAATATACTGATACTGTAACTGCCAATATAATCTCAACAATACAAACCACAATCTGGTGCCAGGGAACTTTGTTGAAAGGTTTACTTCTGATTTAATTGGTAAACAAGTAAAATAATGCCTTTCTTTAATGAAACAATATACACCCCATTTCCATAGATTTTTAGATCGATCTATCCCTGTGGGGAGTCTCACTAGATTACTGTCAGCTTGGCCGGCTTAAGCGTTTGTCCCGCCTACTAAAAGCTGTAAAGGGGTAATTAACTATGGTGCCAGCTCAGCTGACTGCAATTTAGCGTGAACCCCCAGGGAGTTGGGTCGATCTAAATCTTAATCTTTAGATCGATCTAAATCTCTGGGCAAGCACCCATAGTTAAGGGCTCATATCATATAAAGTAAAAGATGTATTTAACAAACACTGGCGCCAGATTATACTTCACACCCTAGTCATCGACCTTGCCATTTTTTGTGATATCTTACTTAGGCTGCTTTTAAATCGATCTATCCCCGCGGGGAGTCTCACTAGATTACTGTCAGATAATCCGGCTTAAATGTCCATCCCGCCTACTACAAGCTGTAAGGGGGTAATTAACTTTTGTGTCCACTCGGCTGACAGCTATTTAGCGTGAACCCCCAGGGAGTTAGGTCGATCTAAAGTAGATCGATCTAATCTCTGGAAATGGGGTCTTAGTTGCAGTCTAAAACTGATCACTATCTCTTGGCTGGCTTTGGGTTGAACCTAGACATGAGATGACTGAAACACAAAGTCTATAACTGCTTTGCTACACAACCATGAATTTTTAAGATAAGTGAAAATAACTGAGACACACCGAGAACTTCTTGGTGACATATTTAGCATTTGCAGTGGCCATGGAGATCCAAGATGACAGACTAGGAGGTCAACTCACTGAAAAATGGACTTTGCATCAATGCTTCTTGACCAATAGATAAGCTTCAAAATTCATGCTCATGCAACAGTATTTGTTACAAACCTTTGGCTATTGTGTCTGGCATCAAACCCAATCATCACTCCTTTTTGTATTACATGGGGAGAAGAGCTGACCAAATACATTGCCAATCCCTAAAATAAGAATATTTTCCTATCATAATAAAGAAATATAACATGCCTACTTTGTTGTTAATAAAACAATAAGCATTTCTTTCAGATGCACATATATAAAGAACATCTGAAACACAATCCATTGGTAAATTAAAAATAATGGTTACTTGTCCTTACAGACATATAATAATTAATAGTAATAAGTTCCTTAAAACTAAACTCCACATAAATCTTAGCACTGTGAACAAATGAGGATTAAAAATTAAATTTTGAAACATTATTATCTAAAAATATGCACTACATATTCTGAAATTTTAAAATATGCCAACTAAAATTATCAATTGTTTGAGAGTGGTAATTTCAGCTTAAATTTAATTTTATTATTAATTATCTATAGATTTCAATTTTATTAACATTTTGTTTGGGATGGAGTTTTCTGCAGGCCTCTACTTTTGAAGACAAAGATTGCAGCAACTTACCTGTGACGTCTGTATGATTGTCAAGTCATTCATCATAGAGTTACCAGCTCCCATCTTTGCACGCAAACCTGACATTGGAAACATTAGGTTTAAATACAGTACACGGTAAGTGCATGTGTAAGGAGTCATAACTAAAGATGACAAAATAATGTGCTTATAAAATGACTCTCTACAAAATCTGGAAATGTTTGTACTCCCATGCATCCCAAATGAACTTCCCTCACTAAATAAATAAATAAATAAATAAATAAATAAATAAATAAATAAATAAATAAAAAGGCAATTTACAAATAAAATGAATAACTAAAATAACTTCTCAAAGAGATGTTAAACAATGTAACTTGTCCTTTTTTGCCTTTAAAGAGAATTTAATTACAGCTGTTATCACTTAAAATAAATAAAAAAATATATAAATAAAAATAAATAACTAAATAAAATACATAATAATAATCTTTTAAGTTAAGAAATTAAAATGTACCTGCAGTTCCAAATTCCATTCTCTTCAGCAATCTATTACGCAGTTCATCCACATTATTACTTTCTACCAGTTTCTGGATGAAAGACTTGGATTCAGGGTTCTGCAAAAGTTAAGGGTAAACGTTTGGATATCCAAAATTTCTAGCATTTCAAAATATGACTACAGCCAGTCACGAAATGTGGGCATTAAATTTTTAGCATTAATATGTAAGCAGCTTATCCAAGACAATTTATTAAAATTAAAAACATAAAACCTTTGTGCATCGTATTTACATGTATAACTATAAGCTTCATTCCGTTCATTACCACTGTTCAACAACCAGGAAAAGCGAATCTTTTTCTATTTTATTGACTTTTTTGGTACCTAAGCAGATATCTCTCCGTAAACCGTGCATGTTATAGGAGTAAGACTTAGATGCAGAGGATAGACAATTTACAAAAAATTAATAATTCCACNCTAATTAATGTATACATACCTGGTCCCATCGCAGCCAGTCGGTCAATGTTGAATCAAGCACGGAATCCCCAGTACTGAATGACATCTTGCAAAAGCCCGTTCGTAGTTTGCTTTGCAATAAGAAATGTGTGAACAAGAATAAATGTGTCAAACCTAGACTTCGTTCTGCACCACAACCACACGAAACCCACAGCTAGATGACACCGGCTAGCGAGCCCAACAACCTTTATGCGAAATCCATCCGCGAGTAAATAACAATAAGTCTAAAGGAAGGGTCAACATTATAATGTTTGTCATTTTTCTCTTGGAAATAGTGAATTTTTGGCTTTAATTACATCTTTTATAAAGTTTAACCCGTCATTATTTACTGAAAACATAGAATAAACATTGCGTATGAATATGATGTTTAGAAAGTACCTGCTAACGGTTGCATGACGAAATTAGACGAATGATTTAATAAGTAAAATGAAAGCTCTTTAAATAAATCGATTGCATTCATAGTGACAGATATCACAATTGAGATAAAATGTTACTGCTTCACTTAACTAACGAATGCTTTGAACGCAACTACCGTTGTTGTTATGCTTTTGCAACTGTCATCTTTGAGTACGTTATACACGCGTAACTTCCGGTTCAAAGAGATGCTACACAACGTGACAGGTCGAACTTTGAAGCGAGTAACAGGATACTAACTTAACACAGAACTATGCAGGTGGGAGAGGTGAGAGTCGCAATGGACTCGGATTTTGAGAAACTAAAAGAAATTTGCGAAAACCACGATGGTTGGAGACAGGATTATAACAAAAACGGAATTGTCGTGTGGACTAAATCTACAGACGTCACGAGTTTCAAGATGATCAAGGTGAGTGGGCGCACTGGAGACGCTCTTGTGTAATTTTATGACCCTTGCACCAAGTTGTTATACATTCAATACCAAAGATTTGTGGTAAATTCTCATTTTAAACGACCCTCTGTTTCTTAGGTGCTGTCGTTGTCAAGGCAAAATTTTGCTTGTCACCAAACACTTTTGTTTACAGTTGCGTATGCTCTAGCTGTTACTTGTGTTACAGAAATTATTACTTTTAGTGAAGTGAAAATAACCCACTCACGACATGGAGTTGAATTTAATCACATACTGTTGAAAGAACCAAAGATTCTTGCTTGGAAGCTTAGGCAAAAAATGTATAACATGTATAATTATGGTACTTTTTACCATGACCCAAAATATATTTATTGAGGTACAAAAACAACAATTAAAGATAGGTTTCTTATTGTTACAATTACAGATGGCTACATATAACAGTATAGTTCAATTTTCTTGGATCAACAATATATCCTAGCATCCATGCATTTGTAACACGTATATATTTTGAATTATTGTAATGATTCCTCTCTGACAAGAGCATACTTTTTGATAATGAGGGAAAATGTTAAAAGTAGTGATAGAGACTTATCTCCGACTTTTCCTTCCATAATGCACTTCTCCTTTTCTTTATCTTCATAAACAATTAACTTAAGTAATTAGTACTCCCAGTGTCTTATTTGTTAAAAAGCAAAACTCTTTGGATAAAGGGCATGATTTTAAATAAAAGTCGTGGTATCTTGATTGCTCTACATTACTACAATTCTTTTCAATCAGTATTTAAGTTAATATTTAATCTGTTCAAGTTAACTATTTTGATATGTGTTCTTTTTTATCTCACAGGACTGTTTACATTAAAACTTATTATATACATTAGATATATGGCATTCAACCTTTTTTGTTCAAAAGCAAAATGATACCTTTTTTTTTTGAGGGGAGGGGGCAGTCCTCTGAATTTATTACACATTCCTAATTTTAATTGTTTAAACACTTGATAAGTGTAATCTATCTGACAGCTTGATGTGCTAGTCAAATTTATTTGACTTGCAATAAGAAGTGTTTAGCCATGGAGTACTAGTGGAAATTCAATATTTTCACCAGGGTTATAGTACTACTTAAAAAATGGGGACATATATCTTAAATGCACATGGATTAAACAACTCAACAGAATGCTTTTATCTTTGCCCCATAGATTTTTGAAACATTAAGAAATATCTTAATACATAGAGATGAAAGTACATGGAGATATCTCTTGGTTATCTCTCACAGAAGTGTTATAGGAATATTGTAGAATAAACTCACCCCTATACTTGGATTCCATGTGTTATTCTTTTTATATATAATAATTTAATTCTAAAGGACTGAGATAGCCAGAAAAGTTTTGCAAATTTTTATTCAAAAGAATATCCTTAGTGGCAAAAATACTTTTCTCTCAAATCATCAGATGTCAGTTTTGGAATCAGATTGTTAAAAAACAACGTTTCACTGGCTACGTAAACCAGATACATTAACCACTAATTGTTGGCTTCACATTTGTAAAAATAGTCAAATATATTCTTA